TTGAACATTAATTGAGTGATTTTCCAACCTTTTCTCAAGCTTCTGTGTCTTCTTTGATTGGAGCACCACCGCATCCATTAAGTTGCGCAGTATGGTGCTTTCTCTAAGTTCATTTCCAACTGCCTTTCTTCTCTTAAACATGCGATTTAAGTTGTTAATTCCACTGTGACTTGCATGCTCAGAGTTTTGTTGTTGCATGTCTTCATGTCCTTGATCACTGACTTGATCTTTTTCAGCTTCAAATTGTACATGTTTTCCTTCATCATTCCTCTCATCTTCTTTAACTTCAGTTTCATTTGCCTTGATAGAATTATCTTTCCTCTTTCCTGTCAAAGAGAGACGACTTTTTTTCATAATGCGGTTAGGCATTTTGTCTGCATATAATGCCTTTATCTTTGGATTTTGAAGCTCCTCTTCTGTTGGGCACATTTTCTGAAATTCAAACTGCATGAAAGAATTGTTATATAAATGTTAGTGTAAATTAAAGAATTTGGAGTCAATAAATTAATATAATTATGTAGCAACGGATTAATTTATAAACATTACTTGTTGGTGGTCAAATATGTTGTTAGCAAGTGTTGCAACACATGTTTTTTTAGGAATTGACCATTTCGAAATTCTTGGCCACATTCCTTTTTTGTCTTCTACTATGCTGCACACGTTTGTCTTCCTGAGCACTGGGAAACTCTCAAACGCCCATATTTGCAATGCGAAGCTAAATCCTGGAAATCCATACCTATCATTTTTTGACTTTGTAATGTTGTTACTCTAGTTAGGTACCTTTTCAAGCAAATCCTCCCAGATTTCATCTCCCCATGGATATTCATTCACCAAATCTAGATTATCTACCATATTTATGTACTTCTCAGGACATTTCACACTTGGCTGGTTTCCAATTAAGAAGTTAGCAATTAAATGCTGAACTGCCAACTTTACCTTATCTAAAGGTTGTTTATCCACCAATATGTTATCAAACTCTTCAAAAGCTCTCTTAATGTCTTTCCTTGATACATTATCCCTTGAGTTAAAAAACCTTTTCCATATGTCACCTTTTGTCTTTGTAGATATCACAGGTTTTTCACCTCCCATCTTGAATCCAGTTATTAAAGCAAGCTCTCTTTTGTATAAGTAGACCAATCTATCACCAATGTTGAAAATGAATCTGTCTCTGTACACTTTACTATTCAGCTTTTTCACATGATTTTCTACTATTAGAATGAGCAGTTGTCCAGTCATCCATTGCACATTTCCAATGTCTAGCATTTTTCCAAATGTTGTGTTTCTGAATGTCTGAAGTTGGTCATGATTTAGCAATGCATTTATTTTTTGCATGCCATTGTGCACATTCGAGAAACAGTTAACCTTTAATTCTTTTTTATTGTCAAACAGTCCTCTTGTACATGATCTTACAATGACCTGATATATACACAAATTCAATAATATATAAGGTATAATGCTGGTAGAATATTAAACTTATTATATGTGTTAAACTAAACTAGTCAATGTAGTATTCTGCTCTTTATCATTTCTTTTCAATACAAACCGATCAATCCGTAATTTTTTGGCATTTATAAAGCTCGATTTGAAGTCAAAATTCCATCTAAAACATATTAAACTAACCAACAATATAAACAATTGGCATTCTGATTCTAATTAGAAGTCAATAATTTCATCTCAAACATATTAAACTGACCGAGAGTATAAAGATGACAATGAATAGTATGTCAAAACCACAATCAAGTGCCAAGTAAGTAATGCAATCTGATTGTAATTTCTATTCAATAATTTTGTCTCAAACCTATTAAACTGACAGAGAGTATAAAGATGACAATGACCACTATATGAAAACCACAATCAAATTCCAAGTCACTAATGCATTATGATTCTAATTTAAAGTCAATAGTTCCATCTCAAAACTATTAAACTGGTTGAGAGTAAAAAGATGATAATGAACAATATATGAAAACCACAATCAAATTCCAAGTCAGTAATGCATTCTGATTCTAATATGAATTCAATAATTCTGTCTCAAACATATTAAACTGACTGAGAGTATAAAATATGACAATGAACAACATATGAAAACCAAAATCAAATTGCAAGTTAGTAATGCATTCCGAGTCTAATTTCAAGTCAATAATTAAGTCTCAAACATACAAAATCGAACTAGAGTATGAAATCACAATGAACAATATATGAAAACGTCATTCATATTGCAAGTCAGTAATGAATTTCTTATACTAATTTCAAGTCAGTAATTACGTCTCAAACATACTAAACTAAATGAAATTGCATATTCAATTTCTATTGCTCATTATTTCAATTTCTCAAAAAAATTAAACAAAAGAGTCAGTACAGAGAATGCCTTTCCAGATGGAAGAACCTCTTCTTTGTCTTGCTCCTTCTTTTGTTTTTCATTGTTTGTTTCACTCTTCTCCTTCGTCTCAAAATCATTGTCTGAAACTTCATTATCGTTTATTTGGTTGGCTTCATTTTCATCGTCTGACCTCTTCTTTCGCTTTGTCATGCTTGTTATGCGTCTGTTTTCTTCACTTGGTTCTACTCTTCTTCAATTGTACCTCGATCGCACTCAAAACTCGACTTGTTTATCGTCTTCGCCCTTTTGTTCTTCGTTAGCGTTGAAGAATTAACCGTCGGGAAGAAGCTTTTGTTTTAAATGGCTAACGGAAAAATTTCTGAGTTCTGGGGCGGAGATAGTTTTTTTGGGAATAGGTGAAAGATGGCACGTGGATGGGCTGGTTGTCTGCGGCTTTTGATTGAGGTTATTTTTGTCAATCCATCCTAATTTAGGTCTTAGGAATTTCGGTTGTCCTATTTTTGGAAATTGGGGGACTTTAGGTCCTAATTGTAAAATTTTCCCATTTATGAAAAAAAACCTTCACGTAGTTTATATTTGAAAAAAAAATCTAAGGATAGAAAAAGTGATATTATTTCACTTTTAAGACTATTTGTGATATTTTCCCTATATTCGATCTCTCCATCCCACAAAAGTTTATCAAATATCCTTTTTTAGTCATCCAAAAAAAATCATTTAAAGTAATAAATACGTGTCTAGAGTTATTTATGTTTCATCTACACAAATCTAAACTACATGATTTTTACTTTCTACGTAAAAGTCAAATTTGACCAAATTTTACCTAAAAGATTATAAAAGTCAAATTAATTTAATTGTGAGATGAAGGGAGTATGATTTTTCTTTTTTATTTCATACCTGGAGGTTTTCTCTCTATGTTTTTATCCTCTCAATTGTGAATGTGTGGATGGAAAATCCAGAAACGACTAAGTGTGGAAGCTCTAGCCAAGTCCGAGCACATCTGGCCCGGCCACTCGGTGAGCCTGGTCCTGATGAGCCTGTTGGTGTCAAAAGGCGGGGGCTGACCCACTCAATCGCCTCATTCACGAGGTTGTGCCCCGTTGTGGATGGGCTTTCCCGTGACACAGCGGATCTCAATTACTGATCTCGGCCACGTCTTAGTGTTTAAACCTTGATAGTAGGGTATGTTGTGTTTTTTATCGAACCATCTCTTTGGCCCTGAGGTATGTAACAATATACTCCATCAATATTGTTTTAAGAAGATAGGTGAAATGTGTGGTTTTTATTTAGAATTTCTAAAGGATAAAAAACTCAGAACATCAGGTCATCGATCAACCGATCATGGATTACAGAAAGAAGGTGAGGTGAAAATGTAAAACTATTTTCATGTTAGCATTAGGTGAGACAATTTTGAGAAGACTTGTTAAAAATGAAATATTGAAATTCTATATTCCCTTATTTTTAAAATATTAAAATTTCTTTTACGTAACGTTAGACCCGTTTTTTTCAAATAGGAGTAAATACCGAAAATTGCTCTTAAATTGGTTCATACATACGCAACACTGTGTATAACAACAACAATAACAATAATGAAAATAATTAATGTTGTTGTTGTTATGGTGCTCTTAAATAAAAATTATGCATCCCCCACTCCATAAACTTGTGCAAGAAACATCAATAGATAGATTTGCTTGGCCTTATTTTAAGAGTCTCAAAAAATTGCAATAATTAAATGGATCGTAATGGAGTTATGGAAGTTTTTTTATAAATCAATATTGAACCAAAGTTAGAGATGGATTAAAAAAAAAAAATTGTGAAAATAAGGATGTTTTAATTGAAGTAAAATTTTCTAGATGTTTTGTATGCATTTGATAATTGTTGTCTATGATCGAAATTAGTCCAACTAAAAACATTCTCTATAAATAGAGAATCAAGATAATAAAAATTACGTAATAGTTATATTTGATGAGATTAGAAATATATTTATACCTAAATCCAAATATACAAAAGTACGTTAGCAAATTCAAATCTAATACCTTTGGATTCTAAAACTCTAATTCTCTACTCTCATTTGTTACACCTTCTCCTCTTAAGTCTTAAGTGAGCAATTATTGCACTTAGGTCGTAAACGAATCGAATCGAGTCGAATAGTGCGATTTTGTATTTATATTTATTTAATTTTTTCAAATATGAATCCGAATTTGAATATGAAACGAACATTAATATCGATTTGTATTCGTATTTGTTTAACAATACGAATAGTTAACGAATCATATACGAATATCGAATTGATTTGTTCATAAGTTAAATATTAGTCAAATATCACTTAAGAACAACTTTTCCTACACGTGCTATGACCTAATATATGTGTGTAGAATTTAATTTGTGACATTTCATTTTTATTCAAAAAAATCAACATGTAGGCTAAAATCAGGATTATGAGGTGTTAAATAAGTCGTTAGGACTCATTTGATTGTTTTATACAAGTAGAGGTACTTATATGACACTTTATTGAGTGCATGACCTTATGTGATTATTTCATAATAGTAGAAGATCTTATTTGATCATTTTCTCTGTATGAATTTTGTGAATTCGAATCGTCTTATACGAATTCAAATTCCAAAGGGAGCATAAAATGTGGAGGATGACTTTTAGCATTATCGATGGTAAATGAGAAACATTTCGGTACACACGAAATGAAAAGAGACAAATATCACAAAAAAGAGCGGGTATACATCCAACAAGACTTTTCTTTACGCCATTGACGATTCGACAAAGGTTTGCTCTGAGCGGCGAAGAGACAGAGGGAGGCGCACAGAAAATGGCGACAGCAATGCGGCAATTTCAACCGTCCGCCACCGGCACAAGAACCTTAACTATCACCATAGACGACGCGGCTTCTCAGCCGGTCGATTCCTCGTCGTCCCATCGGCCTTGGAACGAAACCCTAGTTCTCACATTGAAGCCCAAGAAGAAGATGGTTTCATGGAAGGAAGGCACGGTGGACAACGAGTTCCTCAACAGGAAAAGCTCTAAGAAATGCTGCATTTTCCACAAAGACAAGCCCTTCGATGAAGATTACAGCGACGACGAGGATGAAAAGAAGGGTCATTCCAATGATCATCCCCACAATCACGCTCTTGAAGATTGCGGTAGTTGCGAAGGTCATTAATTGAAATTTGGGGCATGGTTTGGATGTAATATAGACAATAAATCGATGGTATCAATTGATCTTATGTAAAATATTACGTAGTAATTGATTTTTTTTGGATTCATTCGTTCCTAACTTTCTTTATTACTTATGTTCGTCAAGTTTATTATCTTGAATCTGAATAGCAGTTGAAGCCGTTTGTCTGGTTAGTTTGGAGATATTTGGTGCCCAAATTTATGTTTTGAAACATACTCCCTCCGTCCCATAAAATAAGTCTCATTTTCCTTTTTGGGACGTTCCAAATAGTTGTTCCCATTTTTCTTTTTGGAAAGTTTTGTGTGGCTAACATTCATTTAACTTTTTCTTACTCAACCACAATCATACATTTCCACTTTATTCTCACTTTCTTAAACTTCGATCCAAATTGAAATGGGACTTATTTTATGAGACGGACAGAGTAATAATCTTGTGTCATTGAAACATATGAATTGTCAATTGTCCATTTGATCACCGTAAAGGTGGTTCACCGGAGTGAATGCGAGAGTTAGAGATCTCAAATTCAATTCTAAGAGTGGCAATATGAGAGTTGTGAGAGTTTTATCATGTGTGACAATTATTCCTTGTACACATGAGGTCTTGACTCCTGAATCACTCACTCTGAAATTGTTTGAAATCATACAGTTATTTACCGTTGTGATCGTTGGCGATCCCACCTTTTGATTGTGATCATATGTATATAGGGTCTGGTTCCAATAAAATGTGATCTTCTTAAAAGAAATGAGAACATCTCCCTTTTGATCATCTGAAGTTCACTACTACACTTAGATGATTTTCGTCATCCATTATTGGTTATCCACTAGATTCTCACCCGTGCGATGCACGGGATAAAGATTAAACAGTAGTTATACCGTATTATTTGTAAACATTATTAGTTAATGGTAAATGAATGCAAAAAGTATATACAAAAAATATAATGAAGGAAACGGTAGTTACCACTTACAAATAATTAATCAGCACTTCCTCCATATCACTTTAGTTATCTCATTTGTTTTTCACGAAGATTAAGATAATTATTGTAGACTTTATAAGAAATAAGAGGTTTTTGGTACTATAACGGTACGGAGGGAGTATGAAGTATGTTTTGAAATAAAAAGGAATAAATAGATATTACAATATGGGAGACTGTGCCGTGAGATTGTGGAGAGAGGAGCGGCAATGGCATGGGGAAACCTTAGCCACTGCCTTCTCTTTTTCTTTTCTTTTCTTCTCTTCTTTCAATCTTCTTTGATTTCAATAACAGAAAAACATTTTCTTAATTAGTGTTTTCAGTTTTATTCATGTGTTTCTTTCCCAACGTTGTTTGGAGGTATTATTTTCGGTAGCGAAATATCGTCTGCCAGATCCATATTCCCTGCCACTTTCGGTCGGGCGTTCTTGTGTGCTAAGAAGAGATTTGCACTGATCTCTTCATCAATCAAAAACATGATTTTCTTCTGCGACGATATTGAGATGGATCCCCCCCTCCTGAACCACCACTGTTCCAGGAAGATGAGATCATTTGGGTTGCTTTCTTTTCAGTGGCTGGTGAAATCGGAACAAATTCTACAGTTGACTCCTTACCAGTGGCTGGAGAAACCGGGATGTTTAAGAGTTCTTTTGATCATGATTGTGATCGTAGCAGGAGCTGTCAATCTGCAGGTAGAGTCTACTTCTTTGCGGGATTAGCGATTCAGCGTTTTCGATTAGAATCGTTCATTTCTATGTCTCATCCCATTGTAGCCTTGAGCTTTATGATTGTAATGTTTCTTGTCATCTTCATTAATACGGAGTAATAATTAAGTTATTTGTTTTCAAAAAAATAGATATTACAATAAGGCTCTCACAACCTACACTTTTCAAAACATTTCATTGTAAAACACATTGATAGTATGGTCTATTTGTTCGTCATCTTCATAAAACCCTTACGATTTGTCAGTCACGATATTGTAACATAAAATTGACCATGCTAAACACTGGCTTTTTAATAAGAGTCGAAATAGTAAAAAGAGCATTTATTTAAACAAGTATAAACAATAAAAATTATAAAAGTGTTAAAGTAAGAAGTACCATTTGTATTGTCGTCGAAAATGTTATATGATCTGTTTTTATGAGCACGGATATTTTCAACATTTTGAATAACGTTTAATGTCAAAAATGTAATTCTTCATAAATAGATTTTCACTTACATTATTTGAATATAATATACTCCCTCTGTATCACAATAAATGTATTACTTTTCTTTTTTATCGTATCAAAATAAGCTCACTTTTTTTAGGAAATAAATCCACTCCAAGTAAGCGAAAAGTCTAATGGAGCACTTATTTTAATATGGATGGAGTACATAATAAAGTACCTAATTTGTTACACATTTTTATTTCAACTCCATTGCGATTAGAAAACCCAACCTTAGTGCCTAACATACACATTAATATCTTATTATCTACCAACCCAAAATCCAATTAACCGTACGTAATACCCCACTCCATATACATATTGTATTAATTATTGGTAGGTTCTATGGTATCCTTAAGGTATCATACATTTATCCACATGGACCAATCAGAATGGTGTAATTTATTTATTTAAATCTAAATTAAAAATGATGTAATGATTTGAACCAATCAAATGAGTAACAGATACAGTACCCTATTTTTTAAATGGGTATCGAAGTTGTCACCTTAATTATTTATTTCTACGCACTACGTATCTACCTCCGTACTTAATACACATATGAAGCCCCACTGACACCGATTCTTCCGTACATAACACCTTCATACAAGGCACCGATGCTCTCTCTCTCTTCATTCACCCTAAATCCGTCTAACGCCAATTTTCCACCATTCTATGTAAAAAGTTATGTCATCATGATCATATGTTTTTCACAAATGTAATTTTATATTAATAAGTATTTAATTTAAAATACACAATACACTTATGAGGATGCAATTAAAATTAGACTGTATCGATCGGATTAATATTATTTATTTCACAGATGAATTTTAGAATGTTAACTACATCCAAAAATAACTTTTTATATAAAGTTCAGGTATATATATTACATATATATTTTTTTTCCTCACACCCCTTCAAAGTTTGGGGTATTTACATTATTTTTCCCTGTTTTAACATCAACCTACATTTATGTATTATTCATATTAAATATATGTACGTATTATTCATATGTTTCTAACTTATAATTTTTATTTATAAATAATGAATGTACGAATTTTGAAAAATATTAAATAAGAGAACACATAAAATGGTTAAAATACTGCTCAAAAACAAAATCAGCCCATTAAAGAGAAAACGTATAACTAACTACAAAAAAACACGGGATTGACAAGGATTTTGACAGAGATTTAGCAGGGATTTTGGCAAGGAAATGCCAAATCCGTGTCAAAAACATTTTGGCACGAGCTATTTGGCACGAAAAATCGGTAACTCCGTGCCAAATTCCGTGTCAATCCCGTAATTTTTTTGTAGTGACTATAAACTCTTTCCATCTCGACATTATCTGATTTATTATCTTTTTCCAAGTTTTTTTAATCTCTTTCCTCCCTCGGTCTCACCTTTTTCACCTCTTGTCCTCTTCCCTTCCAAACTTCTTTTTTGCACACACCTGTCAATCTCCAATTAAGATATTATTGTGGTTAGACCCTAAACCACTTCTAACATTGACAGCGAAGAAAACATGTCTAAACGATGAAAAGTCTTCATCAACATTCAATCTTGCTTCAAACCATTTATCCAGGTTAGTTTTTACTGCGTATTAATTAATTTAAAATATTTTTCTGCGTATTAATTAATTTAAAATATTTATCCATGATATAACTGATCTTAAACAATAAACAGGTTAGTTTTTACTGTGTATTAATTAATTTAAAATATTTTTCTTCTAATTGATTTGCATGCACCATTTATCCAATTAACTTGAGTCCATTTTTATGTATTTTAGAGTGTTTTTTTACTGTTCGAGGCAGCTACAAAAATCAAGACCCTGGAACTGAAAAAGTTAAACTCCGTATTTTGTTTGCAGCGGTATATCTCAATTCTCAAATCTCCTACCTATTTAAAATCTAAAATATGAGATGGTGGCTTTGAGGTCATGTGTACATAACATTATAAGGAGTACATTTTAGAAGCGCAGACAGTTTAGTGAACCATTTTGATTTATTTCATCATAATCTCAAGCCAAAAAATAATGAATATTTGGCTTCATTGCAAATGATGGAAAATATAAGGAGTACTATGTACTTGTTTTTATCCTTCTCTTGTTTGAAATAAAAATACATTGTGGAACATTTGCATTCAAATTTTTATTCTGGGGGCCTCAATAAAAAAGACTCCCTTAAATAAAACACTTCAATTAATAAAGAGTGGTGTGGTGGGATTCTATGGCGTATGACATACACCATAGTTCTCCTCTGGGAATTGTCCTTGTTCAATGACCACACTTCATTGCTCCATCATCATATGTAAACTGTGAAACAAAAACAGAATAAACATATAAATCAATAGTTCAATTTGAAAGCATTTTTGTATATGCTACTACTTAATTGACATAAATTACAATGTCTTGACATTTGCATATACTTTATGTGTGCTCATATCTCTTATATAGTTGTGTTTAATTTATACCACTCATATACTGTAGTAATTTGTGTTCATATTTGAAGACATCTTTTATCTACTGACATTTTATTACCTCTTTCTCTAATGCATGGAGCATCCAACTGAGTACATCTTCTCTGTGTACACTCACGACGATCAACAAATAGATGACCTGTTTTTTATATACAAATTGGCATATTCACCATGCTCTATTGAAGCCACATGGGAACCAATGCTTCGTATTTGTTCCGTAATTGAGAAGCTCCGTGTTTAGGTGATAGTATGTATAATGTTCTTACTACGTGGTGTTGCACCTCTAATACAGTAATTCATTTTGCGCGGATATCTAAGCTAGGTGGGTTTTTAGTAGCCACCCGTTAACTCATACCCAGAAATCTGTACTCCAAGATTTTTAGTAAAGAATTTGTGGTTCCAGTTCATTCCCTCTCCTCTGCGCAAGTCTCAGCCACACATTTTTTACTTTATTATTCTCCGTGCCGGTCAAACTTGGCAAAGTTATTAGGGACGAAGGGAATATAACAATGAATAATGTGTATTGGCCGGCCATTCATTAAAGGCAACCATTGGGCCTCCAGTAAATATTGAGCCACCAAGTCTGAAAAAGCAAAAGATGTACTTTTTTGGACCACATCATTCCTTGGAGCCTAGTTTCTTTAATTAATACCACTTGATCAATGTGCCCTGAAGATCCACATTTCAGCCCATTTGTAAAAACCCGACCCGACCCATATTTGGACAGCACTTTGGGTGGGAAAACTGACTTGTTTTACTCCTCCTTTTGTATAATAGAAGATGGTAGACTTTTGCACACAAAAAGTCCATTTTTATAAATAAGAAAAACTTTGATTATTTACAAAAATGCCACTAGGTTTTTTAATCATTTTAATGCATTTTTAACATATTTAGAGTCGTTAGATATTAGATTCGATACACCGGATTATTCCTACTTTTCATGGGAAGGAGTTTTTTATTTGATCCAATATATATAGGAGCGGGTTCCAGTGAGAATCACTCTAAGAATGAGAACCCTTTTTAAAATGAGAACTTCTAATCTCGATCATGCAATTTACAATCAATGACCAATAATGACAAGGTGGCATTTTTGTAATTATTTAGGTTTAATTACAAAAAAACCATTTGAATTTAGGGTAATTATGAATGTGACCCCATGTGAATCCTAACCAATGATTACCATAAATGAAAGCTAGAGATTAAAAGTTCTTATTTTAAAGAGTTCTCATGAGTTTTTTATGGGTATGCCTATTCCTAAAGGTATGTCCAATGCATTGATTGTATTGATCCATAAGAATGATAGACCTAACTCTTTTGCGGATTTCAGACCCATCTGTTTATCTAATTTTATTAGTAAAGTTTGTACTAAAATCTTGGCAGCCAGACTCAGTACAATCTTGCCAAAGATTATTTTCAGAGAGCAAGCAGGTTTATGCAAAATAGAGACATCTCTGACCAGATCCTGATTGCACAAGAAATGGTACATTGCATTGATAAAAAGGTAAGAGGCTCTAATATGATTATCAAACTGGACATGGCTAAAGCTTTTGATAGTGTCATGGGCTTTTCTGGTAGAGGTTATGGCAAAGTTTGGGTTTAGTAATCACTTTATTAAACTAGTTATTAAGAATTTGGAGGGTACTTTCCTTTCTATCCTGGTAAATGGGACCCCTCAAGGTTTCTTTAAGCCTCAATGAGGAGTCAAGCAAGGTGACCCTCTGTCTCCCTTTCTTTTTATCATTGCTTCTGAGTCATTCTCTAGAGGATTAAACAAACTTATGGAGATTGGAAGAATAAAGCCCTACTATATGGGTGTTCAAGGTTTCCCGGTATCCCATTTAGGATTTGTAGATGATTTATTAATATTCCTCAATGGGGATTCTAGGTCTTGAATGACTTTTAAGCATTTTCTGGATAACTATCAATCTGCCTCTGATCAGTTAATTAACTTTAACAAAAGTTCTATTGCTTGTGGCAAGACTTCACCTGGCAGACTCAATAGCATCAAAGACCTTCTGGAAATGAATCTGGCTTCTCTTCCCATTAAATATTTGGGGGTTAACCTGCACAAAGGTATCAATAGATTTCAGTTTTGTGGGTCTTTAATTAAGCAATTTGAAGACAAACTTCCCCATGGAAGCAAAAGAATCTATCTCAAGGTGGGAGGTTGATTCTCATCAAACATGTCTTTAATACTATGCCTCTCCATACTCTAGCAGTGGACTCTCTACCCAAGAAGGTGATAACGGTTTTAAACAGTAATATGACATCATTTTTGGGGGTTCTTCGAATGGTAAACAGAAATATCACTAGACAAAATGAGAGAATCTTTGTTGTTCTACAGATGAGGGAGGGCTGGGAATTAGGGCCCTTTCAGATATTGAGAAAACCTTTTCAATCAAGCTTTGGTGGAAGTGGAAAACAAAAAATACTTTTTGGACAGATTTCATTATAGGAAGATATAATAAGAGTGATGTTATGATACCTAAAGTGACAAATTCTGTCATCTGGAGGAGGATATGCTCTATTCATGAGACTGCCAGTGAGATGTGTTCAGTTCTCATTTAAATCAGCTTTTGATGAAGTTAAACCTCAATTAAATCCTACTTTGACATTCAAACACATATGGCATTCCCATCAAGAACTCAAAGTTAAGTTGTTACCGTGGAAACTAGTTAAAGGCTTTCTCCCAATTACTGATAAACTTAGCAGGTTCAACCAGATCCTGCAACCTTCCATTTGCGTGATGTGTAGAAATCAGACGGATAGTCTTGAGCATTTGTTCTATCAATGCAAAATTATCAAGCCTATTTGGAGCTACTTTATGGGGATATGCGTAATACCATGTTCAAAAGATGATTCTATATTAAAAAATTGCAACTGCGATTTTGGTCGAATTTAGTGCATTTTTGGCTCATTTTGAGTCATTAGAAGTGGAAATGAATGCACAAGATTAATTTTCACTTTGCATGAGAAGAGTTCCTTGTATTATATATGTATATAGAGAGAGGGGAATTCTCCTGTCCAGCACCTTTCCGTCTGAACGTCGTCCGAACACCGTTGTTTTGATGAAAATTTTTGAGCATGTTCCTCATCAAGTCTAGTTTATCCATACCAAATTTCAGCTCAAAATTCGATCGGGAAGGCAGTCAAATAATTCGTTGAAGTTAACTGCATTTTTCTATGTATAATTTGCCGCAATTAACTTCAACGAATTATTTGACTGCCTTCTCGATCGAATTTTGAGCTGAAATTTGGTATGGATAAACTAGACTTGATGAGGAACCCCAAACGGCGGTGTTCGGACGGCGTTTGGACGGGAAGGTGATGGACAGGTGAATTCCTCTCTCTCTATATATATATAAGGTGTGGTTCCAATGAGAACGATGCTTAACGTGAGAACACTCACGTTTCAATCAATGTGGTGCACAAATGAACTCTTCTGTTGCACATTTTCAATTTGCTCGAATTAAGCCTCAGTTAAATGCGGTTATTTTGGTAAATATTGTGAAAACGTGAAAAAGTGTTATATACAAGCTTCATTGTGCAACACGTTGGGGTAAGTGCGGTGTTCTCACGTTCTCACGTTAAGCATTGTTCTCATTTGATCTTTTATATATATATATATATATATATATATATGTGTGTGTGTGTGTGTGTGTGTGTGTGTGTGTGTGTGTGTGTGTGTGTGTATATAGGGAATGGATCAAATAAAAAATAATCTTAACATGTAAAATACAAAATATTCACTTTTGTAGCGCTAAAGTGCATTGTTCTGTTCAAGTAGTGCATTTTTTCATGTTTGTAGAAAAGTTTGTTTATTAATAAAATTGCCATCACATGTTTTTTAAAAAGTGCATTTTTTACAAACGTGAAAAAGTGCACTATCTGAACAAAAAAGTGCACTGTAGCACTACAAAAGTGAATATTTAGGATTTTACACGTTAAAACTTTTTTCATTTGATCGTTACCTATATATATAGTACCATTCCTGCTGATTTAGTGTGCCTGTGGGCAATAACATGCCAATCTGTGCAGCTTATGAAACCTTTCATTTACTATTGCTACATTGAGCTTAAGAAGTGAAAGTATTTGCAGGAAACCAAATGGTTTATGTTATTAATATACTATGACAATCATCCATGATTCCATGGGGAGGTAAAGAAAGGTGCAGAACTGCAAAAATATACCATAGGTGCAAATACTCCCTGTTAATTTCTCCATGACCACTCTCATGAATGAGCATTTACCACCATGACAATTCGCAAGGATGGTGTAACTTGTGCACAATTAGCATATCTGAAATGAACTCAGATTGCACGGCTTACAACAAACTAGAAATGGAATCAACTATGATAAGTTTGGGTCGACACGCACAAATTCTGATCTGATTCTGGACCAGATGGCTCTGGTCCAAAACTGTGTCCATGTGTAATGGTTAGCAAACCAGACGAGGTAGTCGCCACAATGCATTATGAAATTGTTGCATTACATGATAGTTATTATACATATGGACACCACTTATCCTTTTTCTCAGTTTTTTAGTTGAAAGTTATTTAATCAACTGTTTTAACATCAAAAGAGAATGGTGCCCTAAGCACTCTAAAGTACTGTAGCCATAGAGGAGGATTCATAACTATTACAATAACATGTCTCCTACTGATGATGATGATGATATCGAGTACGGAGCGATACAAGGGAGTTGACATGAGGAATGTAGGACGTAAAGTCGCTGACACTATCCACTTCAGGGTCAAAGCCGCCAATCTCATCTTGCTCATCAGCAATCTCATCTTCGTCATCAGCAATCTCATCTTGCTTATCAGCAGCCCCATTCATCTTCTCGGTGTCAAGAGTGACCTCCTTCATCTCATCACTTTCCAGATCACAAACATGCAACAAGTTTTTCCTCTGTCTGCTGAAGACCATCTCACGGCCCGAAGTGCAAATCGGAACCATTCCCGTAACATCATAGTTCCTGTTTATACTATAACGCTTTATCCAGTAGCCCTCTACGTCACCACCATCCCTCCTCAAAATCCATACCTGGATCAAGTGCATCGTAGCATGAGTGACGAAGCTCAATAACCCACCACCCAGCTCAACTAAACGGTCGTTCTTGGTGCTGATGATTGGCAAAGGTATGATGAGGAACCTTTCGTTATCATATCCCAGAGAGACAATATAAGTGCAGTGAGATCTTCCGGGTAGCCAATACATTGCTCCAGTAGCTGAAACAGGTGGGTGAAGAATGATGTGTGGGTGGACAGCTAGAGGCGGTCCATCTACCGCATGCCATGACCTTGTAGATAGGCTTAGAATCTCACATCTGACGTGGAGGTATTCGTCGCGAAATAAGTGTACCACTTTATACTCACCCATATGTCCCCGACGCATGAACCCAAATGACTCTGGTCTGAAACCGGCCGTTCCCAAGGGATATCGTAAGTGCTTCCTACTGCTTGGGTTTACCACTACTAGTCCTCTTGTCGTTTTCATTTTGGCCAATACTAGTCCATCGCAAGATGCTAAAACTGAGTCTATTCTGGCCAAGTTTTGAACAGGAATTTTGCTACTTTTGCCGCTATGCAATTCCCAGAGTTGGAAAAAGTATACAATACTTTGGGAATGGGGTTGCTGTGGTGCAAAAGGCAAAGATTTGTTGTGGTTCTCGTAATTTGAGCTTAAAGTGAGAAGAACAGTCTCAGAGCGACGAAGGTGAGCTTCAATGAAGTTTGGACTTGTGATCATGTTAAAAAGTGTTTTGCAGGTGCAGCTTACCCTGCACAGTGTATCAGCTGGGAGTAGGAGAAATATTTTGAAAAGAAGGTCAAAGGGAATCCATGTTTTGTGATTTGATGAACCTTCTATCTCTAAACCACAAAGCAGCACCTCTCTTTCCTTTTCATTCATAGATTCAATCTGTTTAGCCTTTTTATCTGGCCTCTTTTCCATTTACACAGTTTCTCCCTCCTATTGCTGTTAACTCCAGAAAGTTACCCAAATAAGAGGTTCTATAAAAGAGAGTTATTTAGTCCATTTGAGACTAACTCCTACAACACGTTCTATATCGTCGCTTGGAAAAATCAGGCTTTTATACTTCCATGTTTTCCTACATAAATCACAACCACACAATTATCATTTTCTTAAATGGTTTGTCCAAGTCAAACAAAAAACATTAAAACTGGGTGTAAGAGTATGAGTACTGTAAATAAATGCACCAAAGAAAGCCGTTTCTCCCTTTATGTTATGACATGATACCCTATATGTCTCCCTATAGGGGTCTCCTTTAAAAAATGGTAATAGATTTGCTATATACAGGGCAATAATGATACAAACAAGAAATGATATTTTTTCTAATTTCGGCCAATCCCTTCCCTTACGGAAAAGCAAGCAACATTGTCCGTACAAACCCACCATCATCATATTCTCAGGGGCCAGTTTTTTCTGAGACAAACATGCCCAAACTCTATAAGTATATACACTAGAACATTAAACACACATATAACATACAAATATACGACCAAAGCTTAACTAACACACAAATATGGCGATCATACAATCTTGAATTCTTGATTGTCTTTCCCCAGAAAACATGGCATCAAATTTGGAGAAAATTTCAAGAAAACGCTCAGAAAAGCTTAAGATCGAGAAGAAGATGAAATACCTGATGAGAACCCAATTTCGTCTTCTCTGAGGAGCAGCGGACATCACAGGGTTAAGGTTGGGAAATAGGAAGGTTCTGTTTAACCTTCTCACACTGGCGGTTGCTCATTGGCTGCTCTATTTGTTTTTCTTTCTTCTTTTATTAAACCTAAAATGGCAGCCTGGCTTTTTCGCTGAGTTGGAAAAGTAGTAAGAATAGAAAATACTCATTAATTAAGCTCCATCGAGGCCCGGCCGGAACTGATCGGAGACTCATCTCGCCGTATGACTTCAATTTCATCTCATATGATCCTACTTCAATATTGAAGTTTTTACCTCATTTTTAATATTTATTGCATTTGGAGGAACAAATCATAGGTCATGCATGTTGCAATTTTCTTTAATCTTGTTTTCATGAACAAAGTTGACTGGTTGAGGCTATATGTGTATAACTCCTTTTTGGGGTTTCATGGAAATAGCAAAATCAAATCACGTAAAAATGGAGTTTCGAGTTTGTTTATGCTAAAAATAAACTAATCTAAGAATAAAAATGAAATGAGAATCGAACAAATATGAATTGACAATGAATTAATCAAGAATAAAGAAATGATGGTAATTCAATAATATGAAGTAGTTCGAATAGTACGAATGTGTGTGTGAGTACAGAATGATCGTGTGTTACATTGATCTCTATCTAATATATGTATTAGATACGGAGTAATTTTCTTCTTCCCCAAGCCATGCTACCAACTCTTGTTGGACTGACCCCTAGCTTTGTTGACTTAATAACCTGCTAATTGATGCACGAGTACTATGATTTGGGTTGATCTGTCTAATTAAACAATTTATTTAGGAAATTTTTCACAAGTAGACTAAAAGTGAAAGCAATATCACTTCTTTTCACTTGTGAAAAATTCTTTCAAAAATAGACTACTCCATACTTTGTTTTCAAAAATAGACTATACGGAGTATTAACACGGAGGCAAGTACTATTTTTTGCTAATGCAAGTACACTTGGGACTAATGAGATGCTATCTCTTAGGGATAAATGATTGCAAATTCACCAATCACTCAACATTTGTTCTAGATAGAAAAAATGTAAAATTCATTTAAAAAAACTCAAGAGATCATAATAATTGAAAAAATAATAAAAGTTTTAAAAAGTAAATATTTGCTTAAAAAATTAGACAAGCATTATAAAAGTTGAAACCTTGTAAATTAGATTTTAAAAACTCTAAAAATAAATCAGGAAAATGTAAAACAAGCTAGTAAATTTGAAATACAAATCTCGAAGTAAAAATGAATACGTTTAAAATAGTTTAAAATGTAGGAAAGTTGTAAAGAAAAAACTTAATATAAAATTCAATAATTATAAAATATCAAAACTAGTTATAAATTTTGTGAGGGTGTTTTTTTAACATTAGAATATATACAATCTAAGAAAGAATCCAAAAATGTCAAAATAATATATATAATTTGAAAACAACCAAAGAGTTCAAATTATACTTTACCAATAAAAAGAAATAGAAAATAAGATATTTAAATTTTATAAAATGAGGGGGAAAATATAATAAAACCCGATTAAAATATAAAAAACTGGAATGAAATTTAAAGATATAAAATGTTAAAACTAAGTAAAAAATGGAAAAAATAAATATGTATATTTTGTAATTTAATATTTTCCTTTTTAAATAGCTACGGAACTCAATTATCGGTATTATAATTTCATTGTTACTTTTTATTGCATATTGTTTCTTTGTGTTTATTGTTGTTGATTACTTTAAATCTTTTGTTTCTGATTGTTTATTCTTGTTTCTTATTGTTATTGATTTTCATAAATAAAATTTAATATATTCAAGGTGCTTGTGGCATCGACAAACACACATATTTATAGAATTATGGTAGACCAAAAACAAAACTAAAAATTGAAATATACGTAAACATGAAAAAACAAAAACAAAAACTAAAAGTTCAAAATATTAAACAAAAAGCAACATGATATTACAAAAAGCAACACATGAGATGCAACAAAAAGCTACACGATGAAACAAAAAGAAAGAAAAATCAAAATAAAAGTAACATATTATGGTATCCGATGAATAAATATTTAGATTTATTCCCTACATTAATACAAGAATTTTAATTATAATATAACAATGTTAAAAAAGATATAAATAAACTTGTTTTTGGTACATTTACAAATGAACTGAAAAAGGAAGCAAGTAATAGCAATGCGGCTGTTTAATCTTTTTGTACTCAAACTGCTTTAATATTAGTAGAACTTCACTTCCTGAAACCTGCACAATATCACATAAGTCTACATCATATTACTAGTAATGAACAATCAATAAATCAAACAAAACATAAGGTAGTGATTGAGATTATATGAATGATACATGTGACTAAAATGTGTATTTGCGTCTTGATAATTTCCAATTTCAATTAGAAGGCTGCATTTTGCAGATTGCAAGATAGTGTAAATATTTTTCTCGACAACCTAAGAAGAATCATGAGGCATAAAGTAGACAAACTTGAAACAGAAAAATTAAATTTGCTCTGACCTGCAAATTGATGAAACACCAAATATTAACTGCTTCCCCAAATTAAATTTCACATACTAGAAAGAAAGGATACATATCATTGCACATAATCCTTAGAATGCCTCCTCCTCAATTTTTTTTTTTTTTTTTTTCATTTACCCCAGTGCCACAAAGGCTCCCACCTACGGTGGGGTAAGGGGGGGTCGGATGTACGCGGTCTTACCCCTGTACTAAAGCACAGAGAGACTGTTTCCGGATGACCCATAGTGAAAATCCCATCCAAAATTGCATGGACTGACTGCTGCTTCATAACAAAGAAGCGCAGACAATTTAGTGAGCCATTTTGCTTTATTCCATCACAATCTCAAGCCAAAAAATAATGAATCTTTGGCTCCATTGCAAATGATGGAAATATGCCTCCTCCTCAATATTGAAACTTATTACTCTGATTCATGCTAACCTTAATATGAAATTAATATTACATTACTTTAGTTCAACAAAAAAATCTAAAAGAAAAATAAGAAGCTCTTAGATTCTTATTCACTGCCAAAGCTCAAAAGCAAACAAAAATTAAGGCCAAACCCAAAAACTAATGATGAATTGAAAGCTTGAAACAGAAAAATTAAAAACTTAACAAAAAAAGGTGAAACTAGAACAAAATGTACCTGAATTGAAGTCTCTACAGTCGAATAATTAAGTAAGAAGAAAACAACATAGTAGAAAGCAATTGGCCAGCAGTGGCACACAACGGGCCATAGGAGGTGTCTCGCCGGTGGAGGACTAGGTAGGCAACGACAATGGACGGTTGACAAGGGCCAATTGAAGATTAAGCCAAACGATGGTGAAGAAGAACAAAATAGATATTTGTAACCCTTGCATATGTTCCACAATCGAATTGCGGATTGGAGATAAGACAGGTAGAGAAAGCGGTTGTGTCGTGGTAGAGGTGAAGTTGCTAGAGAGGCTGTTGAGGAATTAGGAGATTGATAGGAAGATGTGGAAGAAGGGATGAAGCTTTAGGGAAGATGAAGGCCGATGCGGAGTCGGTGTCGATTAGGCTAAGCGTTTAGTCTCTTTTTGAAATAACAAGTACAAAGTGAAAAAATTGAAGTTAACTACGAAAAGTATTATGTTGGTGGACATAAATGATATGTTAAGTATAATTGTGCACCATGCGGATAATTTGCACATTTATTTATCAGCCAACTTGCAAGGAGAATCTTCGGGCCCAACAGTGTCCAATTTCAAATTAAAAATGATTTGTGAATTCAGAATTTCAATTTTGGATGCATTAAAAAATTGTTAGCTAGTTATTAATTATTAATATCTTATGCATAACAAAACACATAGTAATAATAATACGGTAGCAATTATCATAAGAGTTCTGTTCTATAATTTAACTAATGTACTGCTTTACTAAAAGTCTAAAAGTAAAGTAATTATAACTTGGTAATCACTACGGCCAATTTGTTAGCACTAAAATTGATTGAACTTTGTCTGAAGTGACTACTAAATTCACTGAATTATGGAAAATCATATGTAAAATATATCATATGTAAAATATATTTCATTAATAAATTTCAAAAAGAAAAGAAAATAGCTTAAATCGGCTTCAACAACTTCACTCAATTCAAGTAGAAAAGTAATTTCAGTCTGACTTACTGTGATTCGTACACAATTTAGTGTGCGAAACTAAAAACTATGTGTTGATAAAAAGTTGACTGATAAACTGAAAATAAGGGTTATCTAACGGACTCTTAAAATAATTAATATTGTCATTTGTGTAATTATATAAGTGGGCATATTTTTCAACCATTTCTATTTTAATCATGCGTGTCGTTATTTGTAATAATAATAATAATCTGTAATAAATCGTTTGTATCTTAATCATTTATATTCTCTCATTTATTTGGAGGAGTAGTTTTCCATCATTTGCAATGGAGTCAAAAACTCATTATTTTTTGGATTGGGAATATGATGAAATAAAGCAAATGGGCTCACTGAACTATTTGTGTTTCTTTCTTATGAAGCAACAGTCAGTCTATTCAAGTTTTAACGCGATTTTCACTATGGATCATCCGGAAACAGTCTCTTTGTGCTATACAAGGGTATGACTACGTACATCTGACCCCCTATCCACCTGCATCTGACCCCCTACCCACCGTAGGTGGGAACCTTTGCGGCACTAGGGGCACTGGTAATGATAATGATGATTTATTTGGAGGAGCATATTAGTTGCACAATAGGTTGTGTTGGAAAATACCAAATATAGGGTTGGCAATGGGGTGAAGGTGCACGTGTGGCTGGATCCCGGGGAAAGAGTCGGGTCAAGTCTAGTCCGATAAATCTACTTGGCATACAAGATATGAATGTGACAGCACTTCGTTCTGAAGATGACAGAAGTTGTGACAGTGAACGGATAAATGTTTTATATTTGAGGCCAAAACTATTTTAAGTACCTCAATTAGTATTTATGAAGGGAGGATGTGTGGGGAACAAAATGGACACTTTTCTGTAAAAAGTTGTTTTAAATTGCTTTAGGAACATCTGGAAATGTGGACATGGACAGGGTGGACTAGTATGTGGGAATCTCAACATAGAACCCATAATACAATTCTTTTTTTAATAAATAATGGCGGGATGTCTCTTGACTCCAGTTAAATGTGTAGTATGCCTTAGCACAAAGCATCAAGGCATGAGTAAGTATCCTCGTCCTCGAGGATATGCCTGCATATTTTACAAGTAGGTGATATGTCCAAGTGAGGAAGTTGGGGTTTTTTGAAGACTGGATCCGGAAGTGCATAAATAATCCAAATAAGGAAGGAAAATGCACACTGCAGATGCTTCTTTGGGTCCTATGGAAGTCAGGTTGAAGGTTGGCGGAGGGCAAAAGTAGTAAGGGCAGCAGCGGCAAGAGACAAAAAGGGCAGGGCACTCACTCACTGCCGTTGAATATGTTGTTTTCATCCTATAGAAATTTCCTTGCATTAACTCAAGAGACAAAAAACATTACATTGAGCTATGGATAACTCTTAATAGAAAATTTAATTACATGCAGAGATCTCCAATTGTAGAGGTGCGAAAAGTTCACTACAGAATGGGTAAAGCAAACCTATATATATGAGATATAATCAAAGCACTGAACAGCTGCATACACTAATTTCTGAAGGACCCTTTCAACTACTTGCTCTCACGAAAATCTGCATCAATAACTTCTCCATCTCCATCAGTTTTACCTGAAGAACCTGGTTTTGAGGTTTTATCATCAGGCGTAGGCATAGCTCCTGAACCTGGCTGGTTATAAAGAGACTGCCCAAGTTGCATAGCTTCTTGGTTAAGTGCCGCCATGGCATCCTTTATGGTCTGGGTTGATCCGCTGGAAATGGCATCCTTTAGCTCTTTCAGCTTAGACTCCACTTTGTCTTTCACGTCCGTAGGGACCTTGTCTCCCAACTCCTTGAATTGCTTTTCGGTTTGGTAGACGAGAGATTCTGCCTGGTTCTTCGTGTCAATTGCATCCCTCCTCTCCTTATCCTCTTTCGCAAACCTATCTGCTTCCTTTACCATTCTATCTACCTGATGACAGTTTTTGTTCAAGGAAACTTGAGTTGATCATTGTTAAGAGAAAATAAAAAGAAACTTGATGTTTGAACAGAAACTTAAATAAGTCAATAAACTACTCATCTTGGGATAAGCAAAATAAGCCACTAGACTTATTTGATGCGCACCTCATCTTTGGGCAGGGTGCTGGCTCCAGTAATGGTGATGTCCTGCTTCTTTCCAGTTCCTTTATCTACAGCAGTGACCGAGAGGATGCCATTAGCATCAATGTCAAACTTCACTTCAATCTGCGGAACACCACGCGGAGCTGGTGGAATTCCATCAAGGCGGAAACTACCCAAGGATTTGTTGTCTTTGACGAATTCTCTTTCCCCTTGGAGAACATTGATTTCAACACTGGTTTGGCCATCCGCTGCAGTTGAGAAAACCTCAGACTTGGATGTAGGTAGAGTTGTGTTTCTTGGTATGATTTTTGTCATGACACCACCGAGGGTCTCCAGTCCCAGGGATAATGGAGTCACATCCAACAGCACAATATTGCTTACATCTCCCGCCAAAACACCTGCCTGAACTTTATAAGGAGATGGAGCAGCAAAAGAAAAAGTTATTTAACCCTTCAAACACAGCATAAAAGTAAAATTGAAGCGAGAAGGGATCAGAAAATGGAGGGAAATGTCAACCTGTACTGCAGCTCCGAGAGCAACAACTTCATCAGGATTCACGGTAACATTAGGTTCTTTACCAGTCAATTTCCGAACAAGGTCTTGTACAGCAGGAATTCGGGTAGAACCACCAACAAGAATGACTTCGTCAATGTCATTGAAGGATAGCTTTGCATCTCTCAAAGAAGTTTCAACAGGTGTTTTCAATCTAAAAATAAAACCCTGAGCTTGGTCATTTATGGAGAGAACGCACATGACAGCTAAAAACAGTTCAAAAAGGACTAAAATAAGGAATAAAACCCTGAGCTTGGCAATTTAGGACTAAAATTGCCCTATATAGGAGTAAATGAGGTTTGAAATTCCAAACTAGGACTACTATGTTTCTCTCCGAAATAGGAGTTGTTACTGCCATGTATAAAAAATATTGTCATGATTGAAAAATATTGTCATTAATTATAATAAATATTGTCATGTTAAATGCACTGCACTGCAACTATTTGTCAATCACGCCTATAAGATGGCGGTAAATACTACCATGTTAGTCCTATTTCAGGAATAAAAACATAGTAGTTCTATTTTGGAATTCCAAACTCCATTTACTCCCATTTTGAGAAATCTCTCTTCAAAAAATTGCTTTTCATTTGAATTGACTCATGTTGAATAGAAATTACCAACTACCTGTCAAGTAAATCTGAACACAATTCTTCAAACTTGGCCCGTGTAAGCGTGGTATCAATATGCTTTGGACCATCAGTAGTGGCAGTTATGAATGGCAAACTGTAACAGAAACACAGCAGAATAATAATTACTCCGTAGTAAATTGCTACTTGTATTGATATGACTTTGAACTTGCAGATTGAAATTTCTAGAGCATATTAGATGCTTCTATAGAAGAATAATGGAACCAAACGCAGTAACAGTAGGAGATTTAAACCTTAAACCAAATGACTGAACTTAAGCAATATTACTAGAAAATCTAAAGTTTAAACTAGATGGGAGTAGAAAAGCACAATACTTTTAAAACTATGGCAACCGTGCAATTATTTTTATACTTTAAGACACTTTTTGAACTCGCAAAGAGTAAATAAATTCCATTCTCGTTGATGTGTATGTTACTTGAGAGGAGGAGGTGACCATAAACATACCAATGAGTGATAAGATACACTACGTCTTTACCTGATATTGGTTTGTGTCAATGAAGACAACTCTATCTTTGCCTTCTCTGCAGTTTCAGTGAGGCGCTGCAGTGCTTGTTTGTCTTTTAAAAGATCTATTCCTTCTTGTTTCCTGAAATCCTTGGCTAGCCAATCTACAATCCTCTGTTTTGGCAATCCAGGAGTATTCACACACTCGGTGAACCAACACCAAAAACATGCACATAAAAGACAGACCCAATGTTTATACAAGTCTTGTTACCTTGTCAAAATCATCCCCTCCTAAATGTGTGTCACCCGACGTGGAAAGAACCTCAAATACTCCATCACCAACCTCCAGAACTGCAGTCATAAGTTGAATTGCTCCAGCAGAAGTTAAATAAATGAAATTTTTTTTGGTGTCACATGCTAGGCTGTGCTCTAAAATCTAAAGAGTAACTGAGTGATTTAATGAAGTGATCTTTGAAGTGTAAATAGTTACCTAAGGTCTTATATTTAGAGGATATATCGGTTTGTAATTTTATAGTTAGAGGTTGCTGGACAACTTGTTCAAGAAATACACACTGAGACTAAGTTTATACCTGACACGTCAAAGGTACCACCACCTAGATCAAAAACTAGAATAGTTTCATTATTTTTCCTTTCAAATCCATAAGCTAATGAAGCAGCAGTAGGTTCATTGATGATGCGCAGCACTTCTATCCCAGCAATACGACCGGCATCTTTTGTTGCAGTTCTCTGGGAATCATTAAAGTACGCTGGCACTGTAATGACAGCTTTAGTGACCTTATCATTTAAAAACTTTGAAGCATCATCAACAAGTTTCCTCAAAACCTGGAACCAACACAATTGCAAGCCTTTTAGAGGAGATCATGGTGAGGAGCAGATAGGACATTATTCTACAATTTTCTTGTAGAGCTCCACACATCAAGATATTTGTTTGGGAAATTGACTTTTTTGTAACAGTTTCATTTTAATCGCTTAAATAGAATGTCAATTTTAATTATATTCTGATTTGAAATCTGCTACTTTGAAGAGATTTTTATTATTGAAAAGGTACCTATTGAAAATTGAATGACTTTAAGAATCAATTTGGGAAGGAAGTATATATTGTTCCATAATGCAACAAATCAGACTCATATCCAAGGTGATAAAGTGTGTGATCAAATCGTATAAAGATCACTTACTGCCGTTCACTAAGCTCAGACTCAGCTATAAATCAGACTAGAAGTAGGCATTACCTGCGCAGAGATTTCCTCGGGGGAGAATTGCTTTCCAATGGCCGGGCACTCAAGCTTGACGTTCCCATTCTCATCTTTCGCCACTCTGTACGACACCTGCTTTGACTCCTCATCGACCTCGGACATCTTCCTACCGACGAACCTCTTTACTGAAAAGAAGGTGTTCTCGGGGTTCACCACAGCCTGACGTTTGGCAATCTGACCGACGAGGCGATCACCGTTTTTCGTATACGCCACAACTGAAGGCGTTGTCCGTTGCCCTTCCGCGTTCGTCACGATTGTCGGCTTTCCTCCCTCCATCGCCGCCACAGCAGAGTTCGTCGTCCCCAAGTCTATGCCTACCACCTTTTCGCTCACCACCCTCAGGGGCCTGCACCTAGACCTCACCGCCCTTTGACTGTTACATCTCTTCGGTGACACGAAGGCAATTCTCTGACCGAAGAGCGAAGTCTTGGTGCCGTTAAATCTGTGATGCGAAAACGGGAGCTGCACATGAGTAGCAGCTGAAGTCGCCATTACTACTAGTTCGAATGCCACAGAATGTCCTCTGAAATTTCAGTTGATCGGAAGAGGAAGAATTTGAATTGTTGGTTTATAGAGGATAAAATATGGATAGACGGAGAGTTCTGGAAGGGTGTAGAGACGCAAATAATTTCTCTATGGCGAGAATTCGTACGCAAATGAACATCAGTGATGAGGACCGGCAACATGGTGACGGGTGAATGGATTGAATACAGAGAGTGGGCCCTAGTTTGGATTTTCGTTCCCACGAGAAGGTTTGAGCAAGGCGTAGAAGCTTCTAGTAGAATTAGTAGAAACTAAATAGTGATGTTTTAATTAGTGTGTAATTTGGGGTTTTGATCTCAATATTCCTACCTCCGTCCCGCTATGATTGTCCCGTTTTACCTTATCGGTCCGTCCCACTAAGATTGTCTCATACCAAATTTGGCAAAGTTGTGTGGCTCTATATCATTATCACTTTATTCTTACTTTATCAATTCAATATCAATCACATAAACCATTTTTTATTGATTTGCGTGTCATTCTCTCTTGTTCCATTGTTAGCGAGACAAAGGGAGTACTAAGTAGTGGATCATAGATAAAAAGTGATCTTATCTTTTATTTTTCAAAAATGTGACTCCAAGTGTTAAATTTACTAAATACATCAGACTCCAGTGACATTGTATACAATGACATCCCGTTACAGTGATATCCAGTGACAGTGACATTTGCAGCAGTGACCAGGTGATCACCGTCGCTGGTAAGTGGTCACCGTCGGAAAATTGTCATCGCCGACTATAGTGACACAGTGACCCCACCACAGTGACACTGCTCCAGTGACACAACTACAATGAGTTTATTATCAATTATAGTTACAAAACACAATTTTCAAAAAAAAAAACATTTGCCACTCACACCACCGCCTACATCTATATCCCTACCCAGCCCAGTTCAAGCCCCTCCCCTTCCCCAACCCAACCGATCCTTCCACTGTGAAGCTACTGCCCCAAAACCCATGCGACCATGCCCCGCCGTCACTACCCACGGGCCACGGCCCCCTGTCCTGCCCTTGTCCAACCAGACCCTAGACTCACCTCTGCCGGCCGCAGCGACCCCAATCATAGTCGTCGCCGATCTAACAGAAATGGAGAAGAGTAAGAATAAGAGCGGCAGGTTGCGCCTTGAAGGCAGGCGGAGGTGACGACATGCAGAGATGACGTCTGATGCGCTTAAGTAGGAGGCGACAGCTCCCCTGATTGCAGATGAGGCGGGGAAGTTCCTGGAGATGTGAGGTTGAGGCTCGCATATGCAAGGATTGAGATCGACCGCAGATGATGTGAGGATGGAGCATACAGAAATCGATTGCAAGTGTTGTGCGGATGGAGCGGAGGAAATCGATCACATATGCTGCAAGGGTTTAATTACTCAGGGGCATTCTGGCACTTCAATATTATTTAATCACTTTTTTGTCCACATGAATTTCTAGTCATATTTTTGTCTAATGAAAGCTGAGATGTAGTATTTATGTCATTCTTTCTTGTAATTTTTTTGTCTATTTTGATCTGATTTAGACTATTAATATATGGTGTGATCTTATTTGAATTGATCCGATTTGATGGATGATTTTTATGTAATTCACAATTGTCTAATCTCTTCATGTCTCGTATGATCTGATTTAGTATGATATGAAGTTTTGAGAGGCTTTAGAGCACTAATATACGGATTACAGAGTAATTAATTTGATTATTTATTTTGTTATATTTGATTATTAGTAACATCTTTTTTTGCAACAGATTATTAGTAACATCTTTAAAAATCAACTTTCATTGATATTTTTTGTACCTAAATCTCAATAACATGGATGATCCGATTATTTTTTGTTCAAATGATATCTATGGACTGATTTAAGATTTTTCGATGGATTGCATTGTGATTTATTGGATTTGTTATCACAATAACATGTAGGGATGGACTGAGATGGGCCAGGCCGATCTGGGACCCAACCCAGTACTGTGCAAGCTCAACCCTGCCCAACCGGGTGGCACCGGGACTGGGGTCCGAACCAGGCATAAATGGGGGAGCCTACGGGCCTTGCAAAATGTGAAACGGTCCGGCCGGTTCAGGCCCAAATTAATATTTTTTTTAACATTTTGCCATTCATTGGCTACTAGGCTGGAGGGGCTGGGTGGTTTAGGGGGATGGGGGTAGGACTAAATTCGAAAAGACAAATTAAAAAAAAAAAGACCCAGCCCGACCCCGGCAAAAACTTGGGCCGGTACCGGGCCCGCACCTCAAATTTTAGTCCCGCCCAATCCCAGCGGGGGCCCGACCCGGCAGCGGTATACCCCTAGTACAATGTGATGCACTTGTGTAAGTTACGAGAATTGAGAAAAGTCAACCAATATAATCCATTCGCTACAAAAATCAACCAAAGTCAATGAAATAGCGATTAGTGCTGCTTGTGTTTGTTTTGGAAGTGGTCGGATCAAAGGGGCCTAGGATTAATCCAACAAAACTATAAATCCTACAGTTGAAAAACGATTTTGAACTCCATAGCCATTAACCACGAAACCAGCAATTTATTTCTTCTCTTCCGCAACAGAAAAGAACAGGAAGACGTAATTATCCTCCACAACAAACAAACAACAACAACATCCAAGCCTTAGTCCCAAAAAATAAGACGTAATTATCCTCCAACTCCAGTTTTTGCATTGTCATTCCATACTCACCAAAAAGGGTGATTTGCAATCAATCAATTCCATAAATGTACAATAACAAGAGGTCAAGAGTGATTCTCTTCCGCAACATAAATTTTTGCATTGACTTCAATTTCTTCTCTTCCGCAACAGAAAAGAACAGGAAGACGTAATTATCCTCCAACTCCAGTTTTTGTCACTTTTAGTCCTCTGACTATTATGTCACCGACGCTTTTAGTACTCGATTTTGAGTTTTTCCACTTTTAGTCCTTCGACTATTGTGCGACAGACACTTTTTGTACCCGTCTTTGAAAATTTCCACATTTAGTCCTTTGACTTTCATAAAAGTGACACTTTTGGTCCTTCAACTATTATAATAGTGACATTTTTAGTACTCCACATATTGTATGAAATTTATAATCGAAGGACTAAGAGTGTCAATTTTATAATACTCAGGGGGCTAAATGTGGAAAATATTGAAGTCAAGGACTAAAAGTCTCTCTCGCACAATAGTTGAGGACTGAAAATGGAAAAATTGAAAGTCGAATACCAAAAGTGTCACTGACCCAATAGTCGAGGGACTGAAAATGGAAAAAACTCATCAGTAAAAGTACCCGAGGACTTGACCACCAACATTTTGTCGAATTGCTTCCTCATGATCCAAAACTCCATTTGGTGTTGTTATCACAACATAGCCCCACTGCATGGCAGGAACATGTTAGCCTTCAAAACAAAAATGGTGAAATGTGTAAAAGAACAGGCAACATCAACATGGCAACATTAATGGGACTGGTACTCTTTATGAATTATGATATATGATAGCTTTGCTTTGAGCTATGAGACATGAAGTACATAAAAAACATTAATAGCTATCAAGTTGTTAGTCAATTATGCATACAAATTGTTCAGTACCTATAGTGCATTGAGACCACTCCTTAACCTGAATACCCAACCCCATGCATAAGGCCCGACCAGATGATCATGACATTCACCCAGGGTTGTCACGGCGTCGACTAGGCGTCGCCTAGGCGCCGACTAGGCGTCGCGGCGATGAAGAGGCATCGACTTGGGAGATCGACTCGCCAGAAGATGACCAGTCGCGTATGTCGTCGCCAAGGCGTCGTCTTGGCGTGAACTTTGCGACTTGTGGCCGCCTATTTCAGCCCAGTCGAAAGTCGTCCGCAGGCCCAAAAGGGTTTAATTTTTTTTAGGAAACACATTTAATTAAGGTTTTAACTTAAGGCGGTGGCCTTCTAGTTAAATACATAGTCCGAAGCCATCGATTAACTCACAGAAGGTTGAAGCAGTCGCCGACTCGCCGGTCAAGCCATAGCCACCTCCCTGTCCGTCGTTGAAGGTTGAAGCGTACGACCAGTCGACCACCAGGCACCAGTCCAGTTGAGTAATGATTTCTTAGTTGACTAACTTAGTTGACGGCACTTGACGCTCCTCTATTACTTTACGGCTCCCAGCAAGTATATATTAGTAATTTAGTATATTACGTAGTAATATATATAAATTATAAATATAACTGTTCTAATATAGTAATATAACTAGTATACATGTCATCTTTTCATCTAGCCCGCTTGGAAGTTGGAAACAAAAATAAAATTTTAGAACCGCAAATTGACTCCCTCATTCTTTGTAATAAAAACTGCAATTTGATTGTGAATTTGTGGTTCTTTATTCTATAAAACAATAATTTATTTTTATTTTTAATAACTGCAATTCGTATATTAGTTTAATAATAAACTCTTAAAGCATTAATTTATTATATGTATATATGTAATATACAATTATACATATAATAGATATAACTGCAATTTAATAACTGCAATTCGTATATTAGTTTAATAATAAACTATGAAATATTTAAACCATTAATTAATTATATGTTATAAAATAATAAACTATTAAAGTATTACAAAAAATATTATATATATAATTAGTTAATTACGTATACAACTATACACATAGTTCAACCTTTTGTTTGTATTAGTTTTTATTTGTTAGTTGGATAGTTAATTTTTCATTATTTTATTTTAAACCTTTTTTTATACACAATAGTTATGGCGGACAATGAAGGTGACACCGTGTATGATCCAGCTAAAGATCCGCTTAGAAGAGCAAAATCTAATGATCCAGGATGGAATCATGGATTTTGGCTTGAACAACAAAGACATAGTCCAATGTAGGCATTGTAATAAGCAAATGTCTTCTGGCATAAAGAGATTAAAACAACATCTAGCTGGCGGGTATGGAGATGTTGCTAAATGTCCTCATACGACAACAGAACTTATGACGGAGATGCGAGCATATTTAATGAGGAAATCCAGGAGTAAACCGATCCAGATTGAAGATGACGGCGATGAGGATGATGCTGAAGTACCTTTCACTCAAATAGATACTTCAACTTCTCAACCGAGTTCTGGGACAGCAACCAAGAGGAAAAATGCTGCTTCACAATTCTTTAATGTCCCACCAAAAATGCCCAAACAAAACAAATCAATTGCCTCCATCATTCGCAAAACTCCTGAGGAGGTTGTTGATGAAAGACATACGAAAGGCCCCACCCAAACTACACTAGAACAATGCACAAAAAGCAAGGAGGAGAAAGAGAGGGTCTTCATGCACATTGCTGATTTTTTTTATGAAAATGGCATTCCTTTTAATGCAGCAAACTCCAGGAGTTATGAGATCATGGTGGAGTCAGTTGGGCAGTTTGGACCAGGACTTAAACCTCCTAGCTATCATGAGTTGCGTGTACCACTTCTTGAAAAAGCAAAGAAAAATACAGAAAAGCTCAGAGAAAAACATGAACTTGCTTGGAAGGAATACAAGTGCACACTCATGTCTGATGGATGGTCTGATCGAAGGAATCGACACTTGATTAATTTCCTTGTCAATAGTCCAGAAGGTACTTTTTTCCTAGACTCGGTTGATGCATCAGGTGAATCTCAAGATGCAACATTGCTAGCAGGTTTGCTTGAGAAAAAAATTGAAGAAGTTGGAAAAGACAATGTAGTGCAAGTGGTGACAGACAACGGCTCTAACTATAAGGCTGCGGGAAAGCTTCTAGAGCACAAGATATCCACGCTTTATTGGACTCCATGTGCTGCACATTGTTTGGATTTGATGTTGGAGGATATCGGTAAATTAGCCGATTTCAAACCCTATATTGAAAAAGCAAGACGTGTGACCACTTTCATTTATCGGCATACAAGAATCCTCCATTCAATGAGACAAAAGACGGGTGGGAAGGATCTTGTAAGACCTGGAGTTACTCGATTTGCAACAACGTTTCTCACTTTGCAATCTCTATATAAACACAGAGAAGCATTGAGAAATCAATTTAGCGGTCTGGATTGGAGTAGATCTAAATTGGCTGCCACAGAAGCAGGAAAGAAGGTTAGTGAGATTGTGTTGGCTGTTAGATACTGGAGTGCAGTGGAAGATTGCATACGAGCTTCACAGCCACTTTTAATTGTCTTGAGGATAGTTGATGCTGATGAGAAACCGGCTATGCCAGAGCTTTCACTAGCCATGGATTGTGCCAAGAAAAAAATTTGCGAGTCATTTGAAAATAAGACTAGACTTTTGAGAAGCCTAGTTCGGATCATTGAGACACGATGGGAAGTCCAGATGGAGGTCAAATTATACGGGGCAGCTTTGTTTTTAAATCCGTCTAAATATTTTGATCTCAAACTAACCGATCCCACATCAGCATCAAAGCAACGATCAATGTTTAACGATGTGCTTGAAAAGATGGTCACCGATGAAACATTGCAGGCCAAGATAAGTGATCAAGCGACAGATTATGACAAATTGAGAGGCAGTTTTGCAAAGCAGCTCGCGATTAGGCAACAAAAATCTAAGAGTCCTCGTAAGTGATACTTTTTATTATTTTAAAAATTTAGTTTAAATATTTTAAAAATTAAATAATATTTTATTTGTGATTAATCTATAGTTGATTGGTGGGATGCTTTTGGTGGACTCGCTGTTGAGCTGCAATCGTTCGCAAAACGCATAGTTGAGCGTAATTGGAGCACTTTTGAGTTTGTAAGTAATATACTTACAATTTTGAATACTAACTACATATTTTAAATTAAACAAGATTTTAACTAATTAAATCAAAACATTTATCAAATATATTTTTTATCTTTATTTTAGATTCATACAAAAAGAAGAAGCAGGTTAGAGCATAAGCGGTTGAATGACTTGGTTTTTATTCAATATAATCGGAAGATAGCAACCAGATTTCAGAAGCGGCGTGAAGAAGGAACAAACTTCAACCCTTTAATTTTTGAAGATTTCCAATGGGACAATGAATGGGTCAGCAATGAAGTTGTTCATCCTGGTGATGATCTTCTGTGGAGTCAAGTTGATGAAGCCGTGGGTGCATCAAGCAATCTTGAGGGTCGTAATCTTCCTAGAACTAATAGCTCTCGTGGAGAACCGGTTTATTATCGACGTCGTGGTTCGAATTCTTCATTAAGGTTGATTGATGAAGACATGGACAATGAAGAAGAAGAAAGTTTTCCGAATGATGATGAAAATGTTGAAGATGACTATGGCCAAACACCACCCACTCCTACTCATGATGATGATGATCAGGGCGAAGGCCGTAGAGATGATTTAGTCCTTGATGATTTTTGAGAACTTAGTAGTTTGAACTTTGATCTTTACGCTGCTTATTTGAGATATACATTTTTAATCTTAATTCCCATTAATAAACCTTGTTTTTTATTTTAATTGTGGATTTCAATTCTAAGTTATATACATTTTAGTTAGTAATATATTATACATAATACAACAACAACATCCAAGCCTTAATCCCAAAAGATATTGGGGTCGGCTAACATGAATCGATACATGATATCACTTTTCATATTTCGATTCATGTCATGTGATGTGACTAAGTGATACTGTTGGCCGTCACACGCCTACCACAGCACCCTCCTCCTTTATCCTGGCTTGGGACAGGCATGATACCAAAAAAATGATATCATGGAGGAGTTTTATGTATTATACATAATATATAATTAAATATATAATTATGTATGTAAATATATAATTATATATATATAATATATAATATAAAATTATAAATATATAATACACACATATAGGCGACTAGTCGACTAATTGTCGCCTAGGCGGCCGCCTTGTCGCCTAGGCGATATGGCGGTCAACTGGCGCCGCGACTCGACTTACCGCCGTGACAAGTATGCATTCACCCAACTTATTAATAATAAAACTCAGTCTAATGTGCAATAAATCAGAAGAAAGAATGGACCTGACGAGTTGGAAGGGTACGTTTTGCGTAGCTCTCAATGTTCTGAGCCTTGATATCTTGTCTATGTGAGAGAGCACGACAATCAGTGACCCTACCCGTTAACTGGACAGATATCTTACCAACTCTATGGGGGTTCTGTACCTCAAAATCTTTAATATATCCTGAAAGAGAAGCACACTCATAAGATATCCCAAAAGTAAGATAGGGAGATCATTACTAATGCCTCCAAATGACAAAAAACATGTGTAGTAGAGTCCTTTGAACAGAAGGATGGTACTAAATCTGAGTGGACCTGCCAAATCAATATCATGGTGTATGTGTGACATAATAAAAGTTAACGGAGATACTCACGCTAATAGTTGTACTTTATTTATCAAACTATATAGCGTACACAGACTAAATCGAACACAATCGGTCTGATGGACTGAAATGAACAAAGTGATACAGTAGAGGGATACTTTGACCTGCATTGAAACAAGTGGTGTGTGCATAAACACTAGCCAAGAAAACTAACCGCGATACTTCATAATCTGAAGGAAATTAGCCATGACAGTAGATACAGGTTGAAGTTGAGCGGAAGCAAACCCTCTCTTCTCAGCATTCACGATTGTCCTCAATGCATCATTAAGTATTCTCCTCCCCATTCCACTGCCACTTTTGTATTATATGTCTATTGATAGACAAAATACACTCAGACCCCAAGCTTGGTTTTGTAACAAACGGCCAAATCAAGAAATTGTTTATCAACACTTAAGATAGCTGTTTGACCCCAGTAAATTTTAGTACGGAGTTCGTACATTATGTACTTTTAGAAGTAATACAGAAAAACACTGAGTTCTAACGGTATTTCGATGTGTATTGAAATACTTTACTTTTAAAACAAACACTCCACACCGTACTGAAAAATTCAGTATGTCACCATAATATATCCAAAAGTAGATGTAGGTTTGAAGAATTAATCTTACATGTATTATTGAGCCATCCGGCAATGATATAAATACAAAATTACAGATAAGCTAAGGTTTGTTACAGATCCTAATATTTAGGATCTATCTATTCTTATCTACACTGCGTGTTAATCTAAGAGTTAAGAGTCCTAAATCAACTCTACTTCCTATCTATACAGTTCCGGATGTACACATAATAAAATAACATGAATATGATACATTTTTCTACACTCCCCCTCAAGTTGGTAAGTATATATCATACATTCCCAACTTGCTTATAAGAAACTCAAACACTGGTTTAAACAGCCCCTTTGTAAAGATATCAGTTGTCTGCTCTTTAGTAGATATGAATGGTGTGCACACAATTCCAGCTTCAATCTTCTCTTTGATAAAATGTCTGTCCACCTCAATGTGTTTAGTACGATCATGTAGCACAGGATTGTGAGCAATATTAATGGTTGCTTTATTGTCACAATATAATTTCATAGGTAGGTTCATTTCCATATTCAACTCTGTCATCATTCTCTTGATCCAAAGTAGCTCACAGATTCCATTAGCCATAGATCTAAATTCAGATTCTGCACTACTTCTGGCAACAACATTCTGCTTCTTACTCCTCCAAGTCACCAGATTCCCCCATACATAAGTACAATACCCAGATGTAGACCTTCTATCATTTATTGACCCAGCATAATCTGCATCTGTAAAGGCTTCTACACTTCTATTGTCACTTCTTTTAAAAAATAATCCTTTCCCTGGACAACTTTTCAAATATCTTAGGATCCTGTAGGTGGCATCTAGATGTTCTTGGAATGGATTATGCATGAACTGACTAACCATACTGACTGCAAAGGCAATATCTGGCCTTGTATGTGCCAGATAAATCAACCTTCCCACCAATCTTTGATAATGGTGAATATTAACTGGTACTCCTTCCTTGACATTTCCTAACTTCTGATTAGGGTCAATTGGAGTATCTATTGGTCTGCATGCACTCGTACCTGTTTCATGAAGTAGGTCTAGTACATACTTCCTTTGGGATACCACAATTCCCTTCTTTGATCTGGCTATCTCCATGCCAAGAAAATACTTCAATTCTCCCAGGTCTTTGATTTCAAATTCCTGAGCAAGCTTCTTCTTCAGGTCTTCAATCTCTTCACAATAGTTTCCTGTAAGAATTATATCATCCACATAAACAATTAGTACTGCAATTTCTCCCTTAATGGAGAATTTCATGAATAGTGTATGATCTGCTTGGGCTTGCTTGAATCCCTGCTTCTTTATGAACTGAGTAAACCTTTCAAACCAAGCATTTGGGGACTGTTTAAGCCCATATAAGGCTTTCTCTAGCTTGCACACCTTTGAGCCATATTGTTCCTCAAACCCAGGAGGAGGGCTCATGTATACTTCCTCTTCAAGCTTCCCATTTAGGAAAGCATTCTTCACATCTAACTGTTGAAGAGGCCAGTCTAGGTTAGAAGCTAGAGATAGTAGAATCCTTATAGTATTTAATTTTGCAACTGGTGCAAAAGTTTCTGTATAATCTATGCCATAGGTTTGTGTGTATCCTTTGGCAACCAGTCTGGCCTTATATCTTTCAAGTGTACCATCTACCTTGAATTTAGGAGTAAACACCCATTTGCATCCAACCCTTGGTTTATTTTTGGGTACCTCTACAGTCTGCCATGTCTGATTCTTTTCAAGGGCATTCATTTCTTCTAAAACAGCCTTCTTCCACTCAGGTATAGATAGGGCTTCCTGTATGGTTAAGGGAATAGAGACAATGGAAAGGTTAGAGGTAAAAGCTGCAAATGATGTAGATAACTGAGAATAGGACAGATAGGGTATTTAACACATGACCTTTTTTCTTTTCTGAGAGCAATGGGTAGATTTAGATCATTGAAATTATTACCTTTGTCATTTTCTGGCATTGAGTCAGATTCATTGACAGTGGCAGGATCAGGGATGTCCTCTATTCTGTGATTTGGAACTCTCCTTTTATAAACCTTGCCAAAAAACTTACTTGTCTGCTGTTCATCATCTTTCCTTGTTTCAGAAAAAAAAAATCATTTTCTTTTGACTCTTGACTATTTTCTAGTGCATCTAACTGTCTATTATACTGTGCATCTAGATTAATGTCAAGAGGTTCTAGTTTTTCAAGGATATGTGATACATTATTACCATCTTCATTAGGAATCTCCCCCTGAAGATGAGTACCAAAAAAAGGTTGATCTTCTACAAAAACAGTGTTCATAGTTATAAACATCTTTTTTGTTATAGGGTCAAAACATTTATAGCCTTTCTGAGTTGAAGAGAGTCCTAAGAAAACACATTTTTTCCCTTAGGGTCAAATTTACTTGCAGTTCTGTCAGGATTGGTAATAAAAACTGTGCACCCAAAAATTTTTATGGGAAGAGAATTAATTAGTCTAGTTTCAGGAAAACAAGTTTGAAGAGTATCAATAGGAGTTTTGAATCCTAGAGTTTTTGATGGCATCCTATTAATTAGATAGGTAGCATGTAAAACAACTTCTCCCCATAAATATTTTGGAATTTTGGCAGAAAACATTATTGCACGAGTAACTTCAAGTAAATGTCTATTTTTCCTCTCAGCTATTCCATTCTGAGCAGGAGTATTTACACAGGAACTCTGATGAACAATCCCTTTTTCAGCAAAAAAAGTATTTAACTTCTTAGAAAAATACTCAAGTCCATTATCACTTCTCACAATTTTGATATTAGTGTTGAATTGAGTTTGGATCATTGAGTAAAATTGTTTAAACACCTCTTCAATCTCAGATTTTTCTTTAAGTAAAAACACTCATGTGACCCTTGTGTGATCATCTATGATAGTTACAAACCACCTTTTTTCTTTCAGAGTTGAAACTCTAGATGCACCCCAGATATCACTGTGTACAATAGTGAAAGGACTAGTTGGTTTGTAACTATGAGGGATGTAAGAACTCCTATGATGTTTGGCAAGTGCACACATATCACAATGAAATGATGAAGGATTTTTATTAAGAAATAACTTAGGAAACAACATTTTCAAATAGGAAAAACTTGGGTGACCTAATCTATAGTGCATTAGGTACACTTCATTATTACAAGGAAAAACAGTTTGCAAACAAGTTTTTTCTTGACCTTGTTTATTCAATTGTGTTCCTTCATCAAAAGTATAGAGGCCATCTTCCTCTCTAGCACTGCCAATCATCTTCCCTGATGCCAGATCCTGAAAAATGCAATAAGAGGGAAAAAATTTTACACAACACTGAAGATCTTTAGTAATTTTGCTAATAGAGATAAGATTGCAGGAAAGTTTAGGAACATGTAAGACTTTGGAAAGGTTAATGGATGAGGAAATTTTAATATTTCCCATCCCTGCTATGGCTGAGAAAGAGCCATCTGCAACTCTAACTTTTTTATCTTCTGCACAAGGTTGATAAGAAGAAAAAAACTTTGGAATATAGGTCATGTGGTCTGTTGCACCTGAGTCAATGACCCAGGTGTTTTTAGTTTTTTCAGAACAAAAATATGATGTTATTTTACCATTCTGTGCAAAAGAACAGGTAGGGTTTTAAGGATTGGAGATTTTCTGGGTAGGTATGAATCTGAGTAGGTACTCTATCTGTTCCTGAGTGAATGGTAGTTGTTTAGGTTCAACTCCTGCCTCTTGTTGAGTCTCAATCACAGTAGTTTGTAGGGCCCTTTCTACTTTCTTCTTCCCAGCTCCTGGTGGTTTTCCATGGAGTTTCCAGCATGTATCCCTTGTGTGCCACAGTTTCTTGCAGTGATCACACCAAGGTTTTTTCTTGTTGTCATCACTTCTGGCCACCAAAGCTGAAGATTCCCCAGGTTCCTCATTAGGTGCTGGGGTGTTGTACATGACCTTCTTCCTGTTATCCTCCATCCTGATTTCAGAAAATACTTCCCTGATAGAAGGTAGAGGTTTTTTTCCAAGTATCCTCCCCTTAACTTCATCTAGGTCCCTATTGATCCCTGCTAGAAACATATAGACCCTATCATTCTCTTCTTTTTTCTTATGTCTGGCCAGATCCTTAGCACTCTCCCACTCTTCATCATCATAGCATTGATCTAATTCTTGCCACAGAGATACCATTTCATTGTAGTATGAAATAATATCCCTATTTCCTTGTTTAGATTGCCACAATTTGGTTTTGAGTTCAAAAATTTGAGAAGAGTTCTCAAGGTCTGAATAAGTTTCCTTAATAGAATCCCATACCTCCTTTGCAGTTTTCATAAACATATGAGGTTTGGCAATTAGGGGCTCCATGGAGTTGAGAAGCCAAGCTGTTATGAGTGAATTCTCTGACCTCCATGTACTGTACCCTTCTTCTGCAGGTATTTTTGGTTGGATTTCTCCTGTGATGTAACCCAGCTTTCCCCTCCCATCAATTGCAAGTCTGACAGATTGAGACCACTCCAGATAGTTTGTTCCATTCAATCTATGACTAGTGATTATCATAGATGAATGAATAGGAGACTGGTAATTTGTCATAGAGCTAATTTGGGAGTTAGGGTTGGTAGTGTGTGAGGAATCAGCTTCACTGGTTTCTACCATTGTTTAAACCGAGGCTCTGATACCATGTAGGTTTGAAGAATTAATCTTACATGTATTATTGAGCCATCCGGCAATGATATAAATACAAAATTACAGATAAGCTAAGGTTTGTTACAGATCCTAATATTTAGGATCTATCTATTCTTATCTACACTGCGTGTTAATCTAAGAGTTAGAGTCCTAAATCAACTCTACTTCCTATCTATACAGTTACGGATGTACACATAATAAAATAATATGAATATGATACATTTTTCTACCGTAGATATGCCGTTTTTTTACAAAATCAATATTTTCAGATACGGCATATGCTGTACACCAATAAATATAATTTTCCCCAGCCCTACTTGTTCGCATTCTCATTTGGACGATGATACTTGATAGGGAGGTGGGCATAAAAACCGAACTGGCACTGAACAACCCATAATGGTACCGAACCAAATATCACACATTTAAATGGTAAATGGTTTTATTGATTTTTATCCCGAACCGAAACCATACCGTTTGAAACGGAAACAAGATCAATTCTGGATTTTGAAAATCAAAAAATACCGTACCGGACTGTTCAAAAACAATACATTTATAGATTTGACTTTTTATATGTTTTCCATCCCTCTGAATCTCTTGTTAGAGCCAACAATTTTAGAGCCCAAATGCTTCCTTTCGCCTTAAAAATAGCTTATGTGTGTTTATATAAACTCAACTAGTATTATTCATTCATTTTAGATTCTTTATGTTATATTTTGATATAGATTGAAAAATGCTAAAATTTTAAAAATAATTAATTTGTTAACTTTTAGTAATGTAGTGTAAATGAATACTCCCTCCGTCCCAAAAACAACTTCTCACTTTCCTTAAATGGATGTCCCAAAATTAACTTCCCACTTCCTTGTTTGACAATTTATCTACATCAAAACAGTGCTAAACAGTGTACAAACAGTGTCAAAACAGTAAAATTTACCCCCTCGGTAAGTTTATTTCCTTAATATGTGTGTAAAACGAAGTGTGAAGTTGTTTTTGGGACGGAGGGAGTATTTGTTACTAGTATATCATATTTGTAGTTTTAAAACTTAATTAATACTCCCTTTGCCCCACAAAACTTGGTCATATTAACTTTTATTGGTCAATGATGGTCCCATTTTATGTGTTCTGCTTTCATTTGGCACAATTATTAATAAAGTGGTTGATAAAGTAGAAATTGTGGTTGAGATTTGAGTATAATAAAGTGAAATGTTGTAGACCATATATTTATTTCCAAAAAAGGAAAAGTGGTCACATATTTTGGATCAACCCAAAATGGAAAGTAAGACAAGTAAAATGGAACGGAAGGAGTATCTTTTATTTAAAATATGAAATTTATATGTACACATTCTTGTAAAAATACTTTCAAAAATTGTCCCATGCCACATAGGCAGAAGAACGGAATGGCACTTTACTCCAATAAGAAAAAACGATGATTTGGATGTCTCCTTGATGAGGCACACCTTCTAGTATTTTTCTTTTTCTTTTCAAGTTTTTTCGAAAATCGGAGTTATTGTTCATCATCTTCCTCCGGCGTTTCTAACACAGTTAGGTGTCGGGCCCCTCCTGTGATAATATAATTTAAACACATGTCTTGCTTTGTTAAGAAATGAAATATAGACGCCTATCTCAAAACAGGCCAACTATGGGTACCTTTACTTTAATTTTCCCAAAATTGTAATTTTTTTATATCTAAACCAACATGCATAATAATATTATTTGAAGACCTTTATAATAAATAAAAGACTTAAATTTGTTAAATTAAACATAATACAATCACAATTTCTGAATAAAAAATAGTCCGTAGTTAATTACTTAAACACGGGATTTGACTTCTTGACACAAACAATTTGCCATTGAACCCTTTTGACCAAGGGCCACTTTCTCTAATATTCTCCTCTTTTTTCTTTCTCAAATCCAGATTCAACCATTTAATACACCTTGAATTAAATAAGATTTTAAATGTATTAATAATTCAAGATTTTATCTAACCAATTAATGGCAATTATAACAAGCATGCATTCCAAATATAATTTAAATAAAGAAAACTCAAAGTATAGCTTAAAGAACTACAAATTAACTAATCACTTAATCAACAATCTAAAAGCCAACAAAATCACTGCAGCACCACTCAAATCAATTAAACAACAAATCAACATATACAAACTATTCAACCCACAACAATCAACAACTGTTAAAGTTAAATACTCCCTCCGTCCAGTATAGAACTTGATGTTTGTTTTGTTCACGGTATTTTAGGAGCTCAATTAATAGAAGAACAAGTGTATACCCTCAAATGTAAAAAGCGGGTGGTTTGTAAAAGGTGGTTAACACATTTAATGTAAAAGAATTTGCTTTAAAATCAAACACAAAGGAGTAAATGGGAGGTACAAAAAAAGAAAAAGGAAAGTGTAAAGATTTAAATGGTATGGAGGTAATAGCATATAACTTACAACAGAAGCAAAATACCCTATCAAGCTCCTTTGAATAAACAAGTCAGCCTCTATCACATTTCTCTCCATTAGGCAAACTTCTAGTGTAAAAAGTTGATGAGAATCTTCTAGAGAATTTATCTTTAGGCCCTTCCACAAAATTTAAATCTCTTTTAGGACCATTCTCTACCAAAGTGTCTGTCAACTTTGAATCTAGAGCATCCCAATTTCTTGGATCATATATGTCAAATAAAGCAGAATTATTTGGCCTATCATCTAAAACATCAATTCTGTGGTCCTCTTTATCAGAATTCTCAGTCATTTCGTTAACACATTGATCAAGTATTTCAGCATTATTTTCAACATTCACTTTTTGTTGTTCACCCTCTTGAACATCTCTAACTTCTTTAATAATAAACTTATCAAGAGCTCCTTTTTTAGATTGGGTTAACTCCTCAAGTCTTCTTTTCCTTTGACACTTTTCATGACCGGATTGGTATTTATATGGAAACATAATTTTTGCCAATTATTGAAATTCTCCTATAATCCTGTACATGTTTATAAATTTTAAATTAATATTAAGTTTAAAATTAGGGTGAAAGCATGAATGATTATACTAGTGTATAATTATAATTTATCAACCTCAAGTTACCAATTTATCAACCTGAGGTTATAAGTTTTAATTACTAAACACATTTACAAAATTACACATTTATTATCAATTCAAATAATGATTTACTTTAAATGCAAAAAATCAACAAATAACAACAACACAACAATTCAACAAACATTAAATCTGAAAATAAACAAATTACAAGATTTCAACAAACAATTCATAAATTCAAATATTCAATAAATTGAAAGTTCACAAGAATTAGCAAATTAGCAACTAATTGAATAAAAGAATTAGCAAATTAGCAACTGACCGGAAGGAGGGCGTCTGAGGGAGGCCGGAGGGCGGCGGAGGCGGTCGGCTGAAGTCAGCGTGTCGGACTGCGCGCAGGCTCGTCGGTTGAAGTCGAGTCGTGGAGAGCAGCCGAGCAGGAGATGGCCTCGTGTCGGACTGCGCAGGGCCGGCAGCGGCGTGCGGTTGTGGTCGATTGTGGTCCTGTGGAGAGGGCAGAGGCGGACGGCGGTCTGGCGGAGTGGGCCGAGTGGCGCCGTGGCGGTGTCCCTTTGTCGTGAAGAGCAGCGAGCAGCGAGAAGGGGGTGAGGGGATTTGCGGATTTGAGGTCTGGGAATTGATTTGGGCTAAAAACAAAAGTTATGGGCCGGGATAATACTAATTTTTTTTTGGGTCCTCCAAAATAACGGGCCCTGTGATGTTGGGCTGGTCAGACAGGCCCAGGGCCGGCCCTGCATATAAGTAGATAGCAGAATACCAGGAACTCCAGGAAACAAGACTGAAGGGAAGGGGGTGAAGGGGCTGGTCGGTTGGAGACCGAGAAGTGGGAAGAATCGGAATTCAGGAATTGGCGAATCGCAGACTGGGAAGGGGCCGGCCGCCGGTCGGTTCGTTGGGAGGGGGCCGAGCGTGGAGTCAGGCAGCCAGGCTCGCAGCCGTCCCTGCGTCGGTCAGTATCTGGAAGGCTTGGCGCTGACGATCGGCGCTCCGACTGCGTTGCTTTGTGTCTTCGGTGTTTGGCTACAGGCGAGTGACGGATGAGTGCTACGCGTCTCTATTTTGGGAGATTAGGGCTTTGGCCTAAGGCTTTTTCAATTTGTTTCGGCCTACCGTCCTCTTGCCCCAAGGTCGCTCTTGCAAAACGAAGAATGATGAGCTTTTCCATAAGCAGTAGTTCATCCCAATTTGATATTTGGTGTTCTTTTAAGCAGTAGTTCGGCCTACCGTTCTTTTAAATAAATCTTTATTTACATTCAAAATTTGTTTACAGAAAAAATTTTGTAAAGTAAGAGATTTTAATAGGCCAAATAATTCTGCTTTATTCTTTATTTGGCCTACAAAGTCGTGAAATTATTTGGCCTACAAAGTCGCGAAATTCAGAATTAAATTTGATAAAAATTTGATATATAAAGTAAGAGATTTATAGTGATTTATGTTGATCATGTAAATAGAAATCGAGAACATCAAGTTAGAACGGAGGTAGTATTATATAAGTTGATGTGTGTGTTTTTAACCCATAATTAGATGTGTTCACTTTAGGTTTTCACATTGATTTAATGAAGATGTCTGATGATTATTATTTTGCTATATTTTCTATTGTACTATTTAACTCCGTCATGAGATCATTTTTTGGTATCATGCATGTTCCAAGCCAAGATAAAGCAAAAGGGTGATGTGGTAGACGCGTGACGGCCAACGGTATCACTTAGTCACATCACATGACATGAATCGAGATATGAATATCGTTATGACATTGATAACATAGATTGATTCATGTTAGTCGACCCAAATTCTTTTGGGATTAAGGTTTGAATGTTGTTGTTGTTGTTCTATTGTACTATTTGCGTATTTACAAACTTAGGGATAAAACTATAAATTTCCTAAATCTTTTTTAGTATTTAGTATACTTTTTTATAAGTATTTCATATTGGCTGGTATGATGAAATCTATTAATTGCCAGACTTTTCTAAAAATTTGAACATTAATTTGATATGGTATCGTATCATTTTGTACCATTTTGAAACATATACTACATCTGTTCTTAAATAAATGCAACAATCAACTTTTCACGTTTGTCAATGCATAACTTTGATCATTCATATATTTAATTATTTATTATTAAAAAATTAAAAAACCCAGTTTTTGAAATTTACAATGTGACAAATTTAACAATATTTTTATAAAATTAATTTATTAATAATTTAATAAATTAAATATAATCAAAGTATAATATGTAAATAGTGTAAAATTTAATATGTTGCATTTATTTAAGAACGGATGAAATATATTGTTGAATTATTTCAACCTTAAAATCGGATGGAACTATTACATACTACCTCTGTCCCATAAAAGTTGATCAACTTTCCTTTTTTGACCGTCCGGAAATACTTTGTCATTTCCATTTAAAGTAACAAATATGTAGCTAAAATTATTTTTCTCTCATCTGCACAAATATCTACCACACAGTTTTTACTTTGTTAATTTACGTGCAAGTCAACATTGGTCAAAAGTTTTATGGGAGGACACAAATTATAAGGTACATCCGGGTGTACATATACGCCCGGTATTTTTGCCATTCTTTTCAAGTTTCAACCTAATTATGATATATCAATTTGAACTCCCTACAGACAGGTGCAATCTCTTCTCTCGATGATCCGCACAATAACACTGCCTGAACTTCTCCCTTCCATTTTTTCCCCTCTATTTGAATAATTATAAAATTCTTCTCAAAATTGACTCAATTTGAATTTTGAAAACATTAAAAGTATTGAAACATTTTCATCACTTTATTTAACTTGTAATGATCTAATAGTTTCATTAAAATTATCTTCTAAATTGTAATGATCACAAATTGTTCGTAAAAAATTCTGAAGTGAATTTTTGTTCATATCTTGAGCAAACTCTATGCTCAGTTGTAGAGTTTCAATGTTCAATAGAGGATACTTGATGCTCAATGAAGATATCTTCATGCTCAACGAGCAAAGCTTACAACTTTCATATGAATGCACATTTCAAGAGTTTAATATTAAATTAGATTCGTATGTTGGAATCCATAGGAGTTGATTATAGATGTAATTTAAAAAAAATTATAAAATGAAAAATAAAAAAATAAAGTGAATTAAAAGTTATGAAGCCGAAATCACGATGCTCAATATTGGACTCCTAATACTCAATAGAATAGATCTGATGTTCATTAAAAGTTTGTTAATGCTCATTTAACAAAAATCATGGATTTCATTCTAATAGAAAGAGTTCGGTGCTCAATAAAAATGTATTGATGTTCAACTAACAAACCTTAATATTTTCATATCAATGCGCATTTCGTAAGTTATGTATGCTCATTTGAACTGTTTGTTCGGCTCCTAATACCCAATAGATTATATCCCATGCTAATTAAATATGCATTAATGCTCATTCAAAAGAAACTGTAATTTCCATCTCAATAGCGGTTGTTTGATATTGATGCTCAATGAAAATATGTTGATGCTCAATGAAATGTCTTGATGCATATTCCAAAAGTTCAATATTAAATTAGATTCATATATTGGAATCCATATGAGTCAATTATAGATATAATTTAAAAAAGTTCATCAATGCTCATTTAACGGAAGCCATGATTTTCAGGAAGGTTTGATGCTCAATGATAATCGTTATGTTAAACAAAGAAACCTTACGATTTTCATATTAATGAACAATTTGTAATTTACGTATGCTCATTTTGGTACTGATATTATGCTCATTTAAAATGTCACAATCAATGCATATTTTAAAGGTATCATATTATATTAAATTCGCATATAGAAATCATAGGAGTGTACTATAGATATAAATTAATAAGTTTCTATAAAAGAAAAAAATTGAATTAGAAGATATGAAGCACAAATCGTGATGCTCATTGTTAGCATCATAATACTCAATAGAATAAGTCTGATGCTCACTAAAAGTACATTAATGCTAATTTAGCGGAAGCCGTAATTTTTCGCTTAAATTAAAAAAATGTTCTCGAAAAATAATTTGGACTGTATTAGGAGTCCTTTTGGTAACACTAAAATCGGCTGATTTGGCTGTTTCTCCTAAGATTTATGAAGTTCTGGCTGAAGTGCTTGCATTGACTGATTCTGCTGATTTAAGAAAAAAATTATTTGTAAAATATATTTTATTAATAAAAAAAAGAAAAAATTACATGTAAAAATAGCTAAAATGGTCATCTACAGTAACTTCAGCGAGTACAATCAGAAAATTAACTCCAACCTTACTTTTTCGGATTATTACACAATTCAGCGCGCGAAAGCAAAATGTATGTGTTTGATGAAAAAGTTGGTTGATAAGCCGAAAACATTGTTGTCAGACGACCTCTAGTTAATGAAGTGTCTTCCTCAATTGAGTTGGATGTAATTTAAGGATAATTTGTAATACTTTGGCTCATCATGAGACATCATCAACAGAATAAAAATCATGACCTACATTAGAGCATCTTTAATGGGGCTTTGGATTCTTGAAAATGCACCGCCACGCTAACTACATTGAGGAGGAAGAAAAAATTTCTTCTCCAACGCGGGCATCTATATCAAAAGTGATGATGAGCTGGAATGCACACTCTCAACTCGGGCGTCTATTTTCAGAAGGTCTCCTAGAAAGGATGACTCAGCATATTATGATTGTAATTCTTTTTTTTGCATATATATATATAGTCATTTTCCTGTCCAGAAGCTTTCTGTCTGAACGCTGTCCGAACACCGCCGTTCGGGGCGGTTCTCGATGGAATTTTTCGATGAAATTTTTTGAGCATGTTCCTCATCAAGTCTAGTTTATCCATACAAAATTTCAGCTTAAAATTCGACCGGTAAGGCAGTCAAATAATTCGTTGAAGTTAACTGCGTTTTTCTATGTATAATTTTGCGCAGTTAACTTCATAAAATTATTTGACTGCCTTCCCGATCGAATTTCGAGCTGAAATTTGGTATGGATAAACTAGACTTGATGAGAAACATGCTCAAAAAATTTCATCAAAAAATTCTACCGGGAACCGCTCCAAACGGCGGTGTTCGGACGGCGTTCGGGCTGGAGGCTGCTGGAGATAGTTGTTTGTTTACAAATTGTAAAAGCTGTTGGGCAAAGCAACAAGAAAAAGTTTAAGTTGCGTTGGAGAATGAAGTATTAATTTGAATGTCTACTTGTCCAAATCAGTCCACACTCCACATCATATTTCATGGCCTGTTTTAGTAGTGATGTGTCACATTTATTTAAGGGCTCTACGATCCACATTCTACAGGAGATGCTCTTAGATTCTGAACTCTGAAATCTGAATCCCAATTCCCGCGGTTTTGGGTCGCCCGTAGTCAACATTTCCCTCACTTCCCATTCTCCAATCCGTTGTGGTGCCCCTCATCTCTGTCACACTCTGTAGGTATATCGTACAGGATGGGGTATGTTACTCCGAATTGTAAAGATCAACCAATTTCATTGTAGATTTTCTAGCCAACACTATTGCGGCCGAAGAGAAATCGATCACTACAAGTGATCAGTTGAACGCTGAAATTCAAAACCCTAGCTGGCTGTGGTGACTGTACGGATGGATAAATCAGCAGCATCAAGCTCCAGCTCTGCAGAGCTGCAATGCGTCGGGCGCCTCGAAATCGTCCGCCCAAAACCCGTTGGTTTCCTCTGTGGCTCACTCCCAGTGCCCACTGATAAAGCCTTCCATGCTATCAAATCCGCTCTGGTGCCATCTCCCCATACGTATGTGAATCGAGCATCCCTATTAATGTTTGTCTAGGACTGAAGAACTATACTGTTTTTATTTTATTTTGAGAGACAATAATGGTCTTGGCCTCTTGGGATTAATTTTCTAACATCCAACTCGCTATAATTTAGGCTGCAAGCTCCAAGGTACCGGATGATTCCAACTGAGACCAATCTGAACACTTTGCCACTTATATCTAGTATTCTAGAGAAGGTTGTTCCTGTGCCAGTTGCGCAGTTGAAGTCAACTGGAGGTATGGTTTATTATATGTGAAATATTTTTTATCAGTTTGGTACTTTTAGTTATAATTTCTCTCTCTTGAGGTGTTATACATGTGCATTATGAAGTGTTATATCATATATGTGAGAAACTATTTAGTAAGTTTATTAGTTATAGTTTCGAAGATTCATTTCTATTTCTTGTTATTTGTGCTAAATTAGTCTTTTTGGTAAATGTACCATAATCGTCTAACAGGACATTTATGCATATAAATTGTTACTGTGTTTAATAGAATGCCTGCTGTATATTTTCTCGAGTATGGAAATTAGCTCTGCAGGGTTAGCTTGCTTCACATGGTTTTCACCCAGTAGAAGGCAGCTTATTAGCTTATTTTTCAAAGGATAGTGAACTAGGGAGTACAATGCCATATTTCTATTTTTCTTTTCATTTATCCATTCTATCCTCTTTTTAATTAATTTGAGTGTTTTTATGTAAATTACGACATAATTCAAGTCACGATAAGTAACGTTTCAGCAGTTTTATAATTTTGACAAATAAGTGGTATTTTAGAATTTCTAGACGCAATATAATTTTTTCTTCTTTTTTCCTTCATTAACTACCTCTGTTTATTTGCCATGTACATTGTAGTACTATGAATTATTTCATTACTAGAAGTAACAAATATTAATTAAATGTGCTTTACATACTCTAATCTGTTTCTTAATAATGTGTGAGAAAACCTAAAATACTATATGTTGTGAATGGGAGGAGCATAACTTGTGTACAACACTCCAAATCTGTGTAAGTATTATGGAAGCCTAAGGCAAACTTTAGGATCATATCCATGACTGCTAAAGTTCTGTTGTTTGGGAAATGCTTTAGTCCCTTAATTTTGATGGCCCATTCTACCAGCTTCTTGAAAGAAAAGGCAGATAACAAAAATGATATGTGCACTGTTGGTGGTGGATTTCATTGTTCTAAAAACCACTAGGCACTGTTTGGGCCGTGGCTTGTTGGCTAGCATGCCAGCTAATGGCGCCCAAGCCTCATTTTTAGTTTCTTAAAATGATTTTGATAGGGTATATTGTCGTGTACCTTGACCCAAAGAGTCGTACAAAAGAAATGGGATTGGAAGACGAGCTTGAACACTGCTGGTTGTCGGCTGAGGGTGCCCCTGAAGGCCACCCTCAGCCTCGACCTATGAAATATACTTAGCAGATTGACATATCAGTGAAGAACTCTGGCGTCATCCACCCCGCACTGCCGTAAGCACCCGGGCAGTGAGAACACATGTAGGCTTTCTATATGCATTAGAAATAATTCATTGATCAAATATTCTCTACTACTATAAAATATAAATGCACCTTTTTGGACTATGGAAAGTGTTCCTCATTCTCAATTATCATACTACAGTGGAAAGGCGTCCATTCATTATACCTTCTATCTCTAGAATTTACTTCTACTTCTCTTTATATTTGGATTTCAATAACCCATTAGATTGTTTTGTAGTTTTGGTAACGGAAATGGTTCATATATACTTGTAAAAAAATACTTGTAAAAAGTACATTGTTGCAAAAAATCTTTAATTGTAAACTAAATAACTGAGCTAACCCTCTTATGTTACTTAGTCATTGAAATAGCTCATATATTACCAAGAGTTTTTTATATTACAACCCTCTTGTTGTTGTAAAAATTTAAAAATTTACAGAAATAGTCAAATAGATTGAAAAAAACTAGGTCTTGTGGTACTTGACCAGCCAATCAGGCCACTTGGATTGGGTGATCTTAGCACCTATATTGGCACCTAGCCTCATTTCTGCACAATGCATGGATTCATGCTACAAGAGAGGATTCCACAAGAATAAAGGAACAAACAAGCAGAAATTTGAAGAGAGTGACTAAGCCTTATTATATATGAATGATGGTGGTGATCAAACCCATTGGCTTGTTTTATCAAATACGTTGTAGGATTTATGTTTACCTTTTTAGTGGTTTGTCATTTTGGAGCTTCTATATGTTCCACAACCCCGTCTATTATACGTACATGTTTTTTTCAAATGACAATGAATTACGAAGAAAGGAAAAGAAAACACCATGATATTCTATCGTTCCCTTTAATTTTTTCCCATGACACTGCAATCCCCTTGCACTTTACTTATTAGAATCCAAGAGTCTTGCCCAAAAGGGTGTTGGTCACATGCATGACATGTCACTATGCCATATGGGGATGTAAGAAATATAAAAAATGGAGGGCAAACATAGCTCAATGGTGGAGTATCTCCATTATGTGCTGGATATCCCGGATTCAAATCAGTCTCTTTACAAAATGCAAGAGCTTAGGGTGCCTAGGCATGCCATTCTTCAAACCTCACATTGCATCAGCTTCGGCAATGGGTTGTGGATACACCATTTTCTTTTATAAAAATGGATAAAATTTATTTATATTCAAATGCAAAAGATTGATTTGTGGTGTTCAATTCTCATGCTTCTGATTCTTATGCCTCTAATAGTTTTTATCCCACTCTTGGTTATAATGAGATCAATCACTAATCCTATACACTATTAGCAAAGGGGGATTACATTTCCACTCCCTAGTCTCCCCCTCTCCAACACACACACCACCATTATCTCATGCTTTATGGGGTCTTGTGCAAACATGCAACTCTTAGTTCACCAATTGACCTCTGACAGTATATGAAGCATTGTAACCATGGATGATGATTCAGATCCAATTAAAAGACGCAACCTGTTATGTATTTGATATAGCTTCACAGATCTGTTATGACTGATGGGTTGGGTACTGGACTGGAGCTTGTTTGATTATGCGGGTATTCCTATAGAATGATTTATGTAGCCTGTAGGAAAACTACAGGTCTGCTTCATGGCTGGATAATCTTCCAATTTATAGAAACCAAAAATAAAGTTTTTTGTGCTCATAATCAGTTGTTTAGACAAAGTTGGATAATTGGATCCCATATATAAATACAAAAACATACATTTCACTTACCGTTGACATCATTATTATCTATTGATATCCATCTTAATTATCGACCTCAACCTTCATTTAGTTACCTTACCTCACTACCTGCCTACATGCCCATCATTTGCTCTTTTGTGCAACTTTTACTGTATCTTACACGAGTTGCATCAATGAGAATCATGCGCATTTCATATATTAATATTGGAACATTGTTGCTTCAAGGTTGTTCAATATCAATATCTCACGTTTGCAGATTTGTCATGGGAAACTAACACTGTTACATCAAACCTTACAAGGAAAGGCGAGGCTCTAGCTGTTTCAGGTTTGGTTAAGTATGGAGACGAGATAGATGTAATTGCCTCTACTGATATTCTGAAGCAAATCTTCAAGATTCCATACTCAAAAGCTCGATTGTCAGTTGCAGTACATCGTGTTGGTCAAACTCTAGTCCTCAACACAGGGTAGGCTTTTATTTTGAGTGTGTTTATTACTGTTTACCCGTTTTTATTCGTATCACTATTAATGCTATGTTTGGACAATTTTTTAATGGAGTGTTTTTAGTCTATTTTCCATCATTTGCAATGGAGCCAAAGACTCACTATTTTTTGGCATAGGAATATGATGGAATAAAGCAAAATGGCTCACTAAACTGTCTGCGCTTCTTTGTTATGAACCAACAGTCGGTTCATGCAATTTTCAACGCGGTTTTCACTATTGGTCAATTCAGAAACAGTCTCTCTGTGCTTTAGTACATGGGTAAAGGCTGCGTACATCCGACCCCCCCTTACCCCACCGCAGGTGGGAGCCTTTGCGGCACAGGGGCAATGATAATGATGAATGATAATGATGAGTGTTTTTTAGTCTCCAACTTTGTTTGACTATTGGTTGATAACTTTTTTGTCTTTTATTCGTCTATTACAAGTTGAAACCTTGTAAAAAATGAACAGTATTTGTGATAAAATAACCAAGGGTGGTTAACTTTGCGCAGTTGAGTGCTATGAGTTGTCCCTACTGAATGTAAAGGGTTGAAATAAAAATAGAGATATGATATGAAACGATATTTTGTGAGCCTCTTTTCTAGATTGTAAACACTTTCGAAGTGTTAAGTATTCCAAAGTGCAGGCCTGATGTTGAAGAGGGAGAAAAACTTGTCAGAAGAAATAGTAATTCGCAAAAATGTGCAGATCAATCATTGTTTCTCAATTTCGCTATGCATTCTGTTCGAATGGAGGCTTGTGACTGTCCACCAACCTACGCAGCACAAAAAGAAGGGCCAGATTCAGCTGTTCACCATCAGCAATTTGAACCAAGGGAAGTTCCATCTGAATCTTTTGAACACTCAGTTCAGGGAAAGAATACCTACAGTGAAAGTAATACTATTGGTCGGGATAAAGGATCTAGCTCTCATTCCAAGTACTCTAAGTCTAATCAAAATGACTTATTCTTTGGGAAGAAGAAAAATAAGACACCTCAAGGTCATGATGCCACCAAGGTCTCTCAAGTTAAAGAAATGCCAAGGAGTTCAGTACAAGAATCTGAAAAATATAGAAGATCTAGTAATGATGGATTTTTAAGGGTCTTGTTTTGGCAGTTTCACAACTTTCGTATGCTCTTAGGAACTGACCTCCTCATATTCAGCAATGAGAAATATGTTGCTGTGAGTTTACATCTGTGGGATGTTTCAAGGCAGGTGTGTATCATATACTCCATCTCATTTTGCCTCACTATTCATAAGTCAACTCGACTTTTTACTCTTCGCTTATTTTCTTTAACATTTTTTGTTTAATCTTTAACAATTGGGGAAAATAATTTAAATGCCCCAAACTTTGAAATGGTGTGAGGTAAGCACCCCAAACTTACATATGTAATACATATACCCTGAACTTTACATAAAAAGTTATGTTAGCACCATTACTATGTATTTTTTTTATTCGAAAATGTAAACTTATGGTGTTAAGCACATGGTTTAAAATACTTAAATATTTATAGTGGTGTAGTTAAAGCGTCATAAATTTACACTGTAAAAGAAAAAAACATACGTTCATGGTACTAATATTAGTTTTTATATAAAGTTCGGGGTATAAATATTAAATATAAAAGTTTGGGGTGCTTAGATAACATCTCTTCAAAATTTGGAGTATTTAAATTATTTTTCCCTTAACAATATGGTTACTATTTTTTTTTCTTGCTATTTTGAAAACCAAACCAATCATTAATATTTGCAATACTATTAATACTACTATTATTATCCGTGACGGATCTAGGAAAAAGTTTTATTGGGGGCAGAATAATCAAAAGATACATCAAAAGAATAAAATTTAATAAAGTATTTGTTCAATATAGAAGTCTAAATGTTTGTGTATTCCTAAATAGAGTTGTCATCGGCGGCGGACTCAGGAATATTCGATTGGCGGGTGGCAGTGTTAAAAAATACATATAAATTCATATATATTAAAATTTCGGGGTAAATATACCTAGAAAAAAAATTGCAGGGGCGGTGACCCCAATTGCCCCTGCCTGTGTCTGTCGCTGATTGTCATGTTTTTTCGCTAAATATGAGTAATTACTATCATATTTTGACAATACTAGACTTTAAACATGATAATATTTACCAAACTTGATAATAATTACTCCAATCTATAGAATAAAACATGATAGTCCTATTTTGAAATTCTCAAACATTTTTACTCCTATTTCGGGAATTTTCCCTCTTGTTTAGAAAATTTATTTTTCTAATAAATGTAAAAGATTAGACTCCGATAGATGTATAACTATTTCAGTTAAATCATCTATTATTATTATTGCAAACTTTCTTAACTTATTATAGATTCTGTTCTATAATAAGGCTAACATTCTTGAAATAGGATGAAATTCGAATATGTGACCTTCTTATTGGGAGTGTCACAGTGATGTCATCATACCACAAAGTCTATTGGATTTACATAAAAAACCTTACATAAAATTAATAATTACATTAGATAAGTTTAATGACATTATCTATCATTTATTATTTATATAAAGAGTAATATATGGCTTTAGAGTTTAAACAAATAAACAACACAAATGTCATACAAGGAGAGGACCAACCCAATAATGACCAACGTAACTACTCAAAGTGCAACACTCTAATACCGTAGTATCAAATTGATTAATTGATTAATGATTTAAAAATAAAGTGATATAAACTGAGACTGACCTCTTGCCTGATATAAAATCCAGCCGTAACCTTTAAGCTCAGTCAGTCGTTTCGCTGTTTTGGGTGAAATTCATAAATTTATGCCTCTGGAATTTGGATTGGGGCGGCTCGGCAGCAGAGTTATTATTGGGGGCAATTCATTTTTTTAATTGGGGGCAAATGCTTAAACTTCTAATATTTACTAATAATTTATATGGTTTTACTAGGCTTTTATTGGGGGCAGCTGCCCCCACACCATCCTTGCTACATCCGCCCCTGATTATTATCCCACAAATAGTCACATACTCACTAGTGCTGTTGTTAGAAATTATTAATGTTAAAGTTTCCAACGTTTTGTATTTAAATAATCAGCGAAAACAAGACAAACTGGTGTCCCTAAATCTTTCCATGGTCTGGTTTGGTTGAGTCTGATTTCTTATTGTATAGTCTAGTCGAATCCAGTTTGGTTTCATCTGGGCCGGTCTGATACGATTTGGTTGGGTCGGTGTCAGGTTTGATCTAGGGAAAAATAATTAAAATACCCCAAACTTTGAATGAGTGTGAGATAAACACCCCAAACTTTCATATGTAATTTAAATACTCCAAACTTTATATAAAAAGTTATGTTAGCACCATGGTCATATATTATTTCTTTAAAAAATATAAATTTATTGTGTTAATTGCATAATTTAAAATAACAAATTAAAATGTTGCATTTATATAGAGTGGGGGTAGTAATATTATTTTGCAATGGAAGTTTAGAATGTTAATTGTATCTTTATGAATGCTAAACTATTTTAAAATATGAAATTAATACTATAAATTTACATTTTTGAAAGAAATAATACATGATCATGGTGCTAAAATAACTCTTTATATAAAGTTTGGGGTTAGAGATGTCAAAAAAACCCGGCCCGCAATGACCCGCCCTAGCCCGAGACATTTGGGGCGGGTCTGACCCACCCCATCTTGCAAATGGGGCGGGTCCGCCCCGCCCCGCCTCGCCTATACAACGGGGCGGGTCCGGGTATTAGTATTGACCCGTGCCGCCCCAACCCGCCCCGCCCTAACCCGCTCAATATATAAGTATATACATACTACAAATATACTTCAACATACATATGTGTGTATACAATAAATCATAAATTATTTGATCTTATAATATATCAATATGTATATATATATTAGATATATTAACTATTCAAGTAAGTGATTTTTCCTTAACTCTTGAAATTTCTAGCGTATCATGAATTTGATTTAATATATTAATTTTTAATAATTATTTAATGATAAACTTTATGTAGATTCAAATGGTAACAACTTCTCACAAATAAAAATACATACTAGCTAATTAGGTTACGGCAGGGCGGACCCGCCCCGCCCCGCATGGGGCGGGTCATGGGTAAACAAGTTTGGACCTGTGCAGGTCACGGGGCGGGGCGGACTCGCCCCGTGAAGTCACGGGACGGGTCTGAGTCTTGCAGTACCTGCCCCGCCCCGACCCATTGCCATGCCTATTTGGGGTATTTAAATTACATATGCAAGTTTGGAGTGCTCACCTCACACCTCTTCAAAGTTTGGGGTATTTTAATTATTTTTCCCTTTGATCTAATATGGGCTGATAGGTTTGAATTCTATCATCATGAATATATATTTAATACTCACTAATGACTATGTTATACTACCTTCGTTCTTCAATAATTGCAACATCTATTCACATGCTCTCCACTTTGACTCATCATCGATTCATCATCATTACCCTAGTGCCGCAAAGGCTCCCACCTACAGTGGGGTAAGGGGGGTCGGATGTTCACAGTCTTACCCCTGTACTAAAGCACAGAGAGACTGTTTCCGGATGAGAAATTTATTTTTTGAAAAGTATTGTTGCTATGTCTCATTTTATATTTTCAAAATCTGATTTATTAATTTTTTACTAATCGTGAATTAAGTATATCAATGGTCAAACTTGTGTGTCGGCAAATGTGGAAATGGAAGTGTTGCAACTAAAAAAGAACGTAGAAAGTATATTACTATATAGTTATTAAAATGCAAAAAAGTTATTCTATTTTAAATTAACTTATTTAAGATTATTATGATTTAATTATTTTTTATGGTTTCATTTTATGTATTAACTTAGGAGGCTGAAATTTTTAATTTTAACAAGTATAAAATGAATAATACGTAGTATACATTATTATTAAAAGAATATAAATATATTAAAAAATTAAATTCTTATAATATTAAACTAGAACCGATTGAACCTAACCTAAACAAACCAAACCAGACTTAAATAGAAAATTTACTCCAAACTTCAAGCAAAGAGGTTCTAAATAAAATATTACGGAACTCAATCATAAAAAGGCTTTAGTTTTGTCTCATTGCATGCCAAGGCTACTTAAAATAGAATGGAGGTATTAACTGAATAATCTGTTGTACATTTACACGTTCTGCATTTTTCATTCTTTCCTATTTACTTTGACAGGTCACTCCACTTATTTGGCTGGAAGCCTGGCTAGATAATGTTATGGCTAGCATCCCTGAATTGGCAATCTGTTACCATCAAGACGGTGTTGTACAGGGCTATGAACTCATAAAAACTGATGATATTTTTCTGCTAAAAGGAATATCTGAGGATGGTTTGCCTGCTTTCAATCCTCATATTGTTCAGCAAAATGGGCTCTCTGTTCTTAGATTTCTTCAGGACAATTGCACACAGGATCCTGGTGCTTATTGGGTACATTGCCATTTTGTAAATTTTGCATTATATTCATTGTTTGGCTTAAATTATCTATTTGAAACTGCTGTAATTATATTTTAATTTTAATTTCCTACCTCTTGTAGCTATACAAAAGTGCTGGTGAAGATGCTGTCCAACTTTTTGATTTATCTGTCATACCCAACAAACATCCGTCAGATGACTATGATGACAACTCAAGTTCACTGCCATCTCTGATACACAGAGGAAGAAGTAGTTCATTACTCTCATTGGGGACGCTATTATACCGGATTGCTCATAGACTTTCACTATCAATGGTTTGAACTTCCTATTATGCTATATACTTGTCATTTTCATTTGTCTTCTGTTGCTAACACTGAATGTTTTTATCAGTCTTCAAAAAACTGGGCAAGATGTGCAAAGTTGTTCAAGAAGTGTCTAGACTTTTTGGAAGATCCTGATCATCTGGTATGCATTCTTGAATGATATATGCGATTGAATATACTCTAATTTTGTCGACCTAATTTTTTTGGGGGGATGATAAGCATGATTTGTCCATGGTCTGTTGTAACTCTGTTTTGTCCCTTATATATGATATGATGGGAAGTTGCATGTTTGGCAATTGCAAGAGAGCTTTTGAAACCCATAACTCCAGTAACAAGAGTCAGACTTGGTCATGTGATGAACTGTACACAAGAGAAATGTTAAATTTGCTACTAAATCACACACCAGTGAGAGTCGAATTGTCCAAAGGAAACATGAAAAGTGAAATAAGAGCTATTCCAGTATCTTAGGTGGGGAGACTTTGCAATCTCTGTGCTGTATGAAATGAATGATTGTTGACATAAATTATTGAAACAGGTTATACGTGCATTAGCTCATGAACAGTTTGCAAGACTTCTATTAACTTTTGATGAGAATCTGGACTTGTCCTCTGAATCACTTCTTGTAGAGTCTGAAGTGGCAATCACTGATGCTGAGGAGGAAAGTTCAGTTAATTTTTTCACTGATATCTCTGAACTCAGGCTTCATGATAGAATCTCCTTACAAGTTTTTGGAGATCAATCAAGTGGAGGAGATGATGGGGGCCCTGTAACAGATCCAGAAGGAAACATAACTTTATGCGGAAAACATAAACCTTCAGCTCCAAGTGAGACAAATGCAGCACACTTCAAAGACCATCCAAGTTCCAGTGACATAAGCTTTGAAATTGGCAACAATTCAGAAAGCACACGTGCTGTTGTTCAAGACATTGCTGATCCTATTGTCTCTAAGCTTGCTGCAATACATCATGTATCGCAAGCTATTAAATCTCTTAGATGGAATCGGAAAAGGCAAACCATTAACGAAGAACTAGACAATCATGACAGAACTGAGGATAACCTACCTCATTCATTGGATAATTTTGTTTGTGCATGTGGTGATCCTGAGTGTATTGAAGTTTGTGACATTAGGGAGTGGCTTCCAACATCAAAATTGGATGATAAGTTGTGGAAACTTGTTCTATTGCTTGGCGAGTCGTACTTGGCTCTTGGGGAAGCTTACAAAGATGCTGGTCTATTGTATCAGGCATTGAAGGTTGTAGAGTTAGCTTGCCTTGTTTATGGATCAATGCCTCAACATAGGGAAGACACAAAGTTTGTATCTTCTATGGCGTGTGGTTCACTTGTTGAAGAGGAAATTAATAGCATAAGTGAAAATGTGGAGTCTGTAGTTGGCAATCATGCTTTTGCGTACAGTTACCCCTTTTGGGCAAAAGCTTGGGCTTTGGTTGGAGATGTGTATGTGCAGCTACATCCAGTAGAGGGTAAAGAATTCTCTCTAATATCAGAGCAGAAATGTTTTACCAAAGAGTTGAAAATGTCATCTGAAGTTTTAGAGGAGGTAGAAAGGCTCAAACAAAAAATGGGACAATTTACACAAAACTGCAACTCATGTTCCTTGATGAATTGCAGCTGTCAGAGTGACAGGGCTACTAGCGGCAGCAGTGCTAGCTGTAGCTCTAGAGATACACGCTCTTCTGTTCATGGGAGAAAGCAGAACAAAATGTCACCAACTAAGAGTAATCCTTACCATCGTTCTGAAAGTCTTGAAAGTACGCTTTTTAAAGGTAAAGGTAAATTATCTGTCAGAAACAATAGTGTGAAGAACTATAAGAGTGACATTGAAAGAAAAGTTTCTGATATGATTCCCAATATTGTAGATGAAAAGAAACTGCCTGCTGCTGAATCATACATAAGTGATTCTCTGAAGCCAGGAGATGATGATGATAATGATAGGGCATCACTTGCTCAGTCTGACACATCAAAAACAAAAAAATGTGTCAAAGTGGGGGGCATATTCAAATATATCAGAGGTTGTAAGCTTGGTGACACTGATTCCAACCTTTCTTATGCCTTAAAATGCTATGAAAAAGCGAAGAAAGCACTCCCAGCACATCCTACTAATTCAACAGAGTTGCTATCTTTGATTAGAAAGGAAGGATGGGTTTGCAATGAGTTAGGTCGAAGGAGGCTGAATAGGAAAGAATTAGATAAAGCTGAAATTGCATTTGCTCAGGCTATTAACACCTTCAAAGAAGTATCAGACCATACTAATATTATTTTGATCAACTGCAATTTGGGCCATGGAAGAAGAGCAATAGCTGAAGAGTTGGTGTCAAAGATTGAGACTCTAAAAAAACATGCAATATTGCACGATGCGTACAAGCAAGCATTGGAGAATGCCAAATTACAATACAGCGAGTCACTCAAATATTATGGAGCTGCAAAAGCAGTAGTAAATGCTGTTGCTGAAGAAGCTCATTCCATTACTATCAGCTTGCGAAACGAAGTACTTACACAGCTTGCAAATACTTATCTAAGGTTAGGAATGCTGTTAGCCAGAGAAGATACAACTGCAGCAGTATATGAAAATTATGTACTAGAGGATTATGTTGCCTCCCATGTTACTAGACTTAAAAGAAACCCTATAAAACATGAGATGTCAGCTAATGATGCTATTAGAGAAGCTTTGTCCCTTTATGAATCATTGGGTGAATTACGCAAACAGGAGGCTGCTTATGGCTATTTTCAGCTAGCATGCTACCAAAGAGATTGCTGCTTGAAATTTTTGGAGCAAGATCAGAATAAAAACATCTTGTCTAAGACTGAGATGAGTTCTCTCCAAAGGGTAAAACAATATGCATCATTGGCTGAGAGAAACTGGCAGAAGTCAATGGAATTTTATGGGCCAAAATCACATCCACTAATGTATTTGACTATCTTGATAGAAAGAGGAGCTCTCTCGACCAATCTGTCAAGTTCTCTTCATTCAAATATGGTATGATTAATGTTTTATTACCTTGCATCTTTTTCTTTGATTAACTGTTTGGAACATTCATATCGGTAATATTAAGGGCTTGTTTGTTTATATTGATTTTTATTTTACTAATTTGTCTCTATTTGTTAGTTTTACACAAGAAATAACTATATGATTAGGTATATCATATATGATGTATTCGAATATAGTTTATGTCTTTATTTGTTTTCCAACCATCTACATGTAGACATAATTGAGAAAATAAATAAACCCCCTTTCTCCCCTCCAAAATATCGGAATAAACAAGCCCTACATGAAGGATAGTTTGTTTTTTTAATTCGGTGCTTCTCAATGTTTTTGTTCTATTCTTTTTAAATTTGTTATCTTTTGTGTGTCACTTATAATTCGGTGGTTCTGATTTGCATGACATTATAAAAAAGTTAAGAGGATCACTTAGTGAAGGAATCTCCTATGGCATTTTGTGATTTCATTTTATGGGCAAAGGAAGGACCACAACACCATCTGCTTCTGTTTATTGGAAATTGGTAGGAAATATGCATAGTGAGTTCCATAGTTTATAGCATTTTTAGAAAAAATCTGAGGGAATGCTAAAAAAGGAAGAAAGATAAGAAGAATATAAAGATAAAGTAAGATAAAATGGATAAGATAAAGATAAATACTAGTATCAGGTAAAAATAACATGAGAACATAAGAAAGCTAAAAGATAAAAAGACAAAAGAGCATAAAGAATATAAAAATAACATAAGAACATAGAAAGATAAAGAAGACAAAAGATAAAAAAGAGAGGAAAGAAAGAAAAGAGATCACTCATTCACACGAATATGCGCCCTCCACTTTGCTCTATCCAAATCCAAACTCTCATGCAATCCTTCCACTTTGCTCTATCCAAAACCATGCTCCCATCCAACTCAAGAAGAAGCATATCCGTTCTGATTCCTTCAATTCAAATCTGTTTGGGTCTTCCTCTCCCTCTCCTCCTTGCCTCTTCTCCCCACCTCTCAAGTCGTCTAACAGGTGCATCATTCGATCTTCTGCGCACATGACCAAACCAACACAATCGAGACTCCTGCATCTTATCCCTTATAGGTGTTATTCCCACCTTTTATATGATGATCTCATTTCTCAAGCGGTCTGGTATTTTCACACATCCAACACAACATACGCATCTCTGCCATACTCATCTTTTGAATGTGACATTGTTGCACTGCCCAACACTCCACACCATTCATTAATGCATGCCTAATTGATTTATCATTTCTGCTTTCTTTAGTTAATAAAAAATGTATTTGGGCAAAACGTCTATATGAAATGCATTTTCCTGGCCGAAGAGAACAGGTAGAGAAAATAACAATTTTGGATGGATTGCTAAATGGATCACAACTGTATATAACATCGCTTTACCGACCACAGCAGCATGTCCAGATGTAACATTGTTAAATGGTGCACAAGTGTACTTTTCATTGCTATCCCTCCAAGTTCTCTGTATATTCTTCACTTAAAGAGTGGAAGATATCCTAATTGTGTTAATCTTGACAAAGCTGCAGTACCACAGAGAATGGTCAAAGTAGATATAAATAAATGATTACATAGTAATTAAGTAACCCCATATGTACGTAGGAAAACATCTGCCTTATTTCGAATGTAATATTTCAATATTTTGGTGTTATTTGGCATTTGATGTGTACTTTGTCAATTATGTTAGAAGTTAGAACAGAGTTTAGGTTAACTTGTTAATTATTTTATGTAGCAACTCCTTGAATCAGCTCTTTCTCGGATGCTTGAAGCGCGCCAATTATCTGAGAACACATCATTGGGTGACGATGGTCATGAAATTTGTGCAAGATTTTGGAGTCAGTTGCAGATGTTGTTGAAGAGAATGTTGTCCGTAACACTTTCAACCAGCACAAACAAGCCTTCTGGGGGGGCTCAGCATATTGCATCCAATAAATCTGCAGCTAGTACTGGAAAGCTAAAGGAGCTTTACAAGATGTCTTTGAGGTCAGCCGAATTTAATCAGTTAAATGCCATGTACAACTTGTGGGCGTCATCCTAAATTGCTTGGAAGTTAACATGGTGCTACCTCTACCAACACCCGAATGTAAGTATATTGTGAATATTGTTATGATGTTAACTTGTTATGACCATCAATTATGACTTATGAAGTATTTTATGGACGTGTTATTTAGTCCGTGTTCTGCAAGAGTGGATTTGATGCTTTGTAATATCCACAACACTACATGATTTCACAGCATCCATCATATAGATAATGTGTAATACTGTAATTGGTACATATAAACAAAACTTCCTTATATATACGCAAGGACAAGATGTATTTCTCTTCACTGGTAGTCTGGTACTCCTTATTACATGAAAATACTATTGAATAATTTTTTTAGTATATTTTGGAATAATAATTATACATTATAGAATTTATAAATGTATAATTCCAAGTACTAAATAGTAATGATCAGAAATGAACATTGAAGTTTTCAAAAGTCAAAACAAGAACTTGAAATAAGGATGAGGGTAGGATTTGGCATCTACGATTTGAAATAGGAGAAATTGATCGAGAAAAAGTGGTCTCAAGGATAGATCGAAGTTTACAAAAAGAAGAGTCACTAGTTCGTTTGCGTGATTCATTGACACAGAAAAGGTCAGCTTAGAATTTTTGTTCATTCAATCCGTGATTTGTTGTCTTTCTAACCCGTGATTTGCTGCCTTTCCATAAAAAGCTCATATAGGCTCATTTTCTTCCCATGATATTAAAGAAAGAGCCAAAGAGGATAGGAATAAGGTAGTGCCCCTAGTTAGTCAACGATTACACGAGCTTTTGGGCTTTACAAGCCGTAAGAGCATGACTTTTTATTTTTGATGCTGGTGTTATGTCTTATTTTGTGAAAAAGATTTTTAATGGATTAGTTGTGTGATTTTAATGCTCTGGCATGTTACGTAGTATATTTTAATTTTGGGATTAAGTTATTTAGCTTAATGTTTCTATCAATTTTGTGTTGGAACTTAATTTCACTCGTTTATATTTTGTATTGCATATTTTTTGTATATCAATTCCACTCCACCCCACCTAGGCCCCAAATAAATGAGAATAGGAAAATTGACAGGAAGCTTGAGCCTGTTAAGTAAGAGTTAAAATGTTTAACATTATGAAAAAATTATATTTAAAACATAAATTACAAGTTAATACAATAAAAGGGAAAAATATGAAAAAGGTGGGATTGATCTTATTTAGCAATTCCAGTCATTTAAGCTAAACATGTACTCACATCTTTCTTATTATTAACCTATTAGGTGCATGGAGTAAAGAAATTGGTGTTTCACAAAACATCTCGTTGACAGTGGGATATAAGGCTATTAAACGGCCACTTATGAGAGTATTATGAGAAACGGCGATCCAATATAAGGCTATTAAACGGCCACAGTTTAGGGTGTTTCACAATGCCCTAAACTGGGAGCGCTACCGAAACCTAAAAGTAACAGAGTCCATTGCCTGAAGAATTAACACCTGAAGAGTCAAAGAAGAGGTGCACAGAATGAGTTTTTCTTTGAAGAGTAGAAGAAACTCCCAATGGAAGAGTCAGCTAGAGACGGAAAAAATAGAAAGAGCAGAGTAAAGCGACACAATTCCCACTTTGACCGGGCAAAATCTTAGAGCAACCTTTTAAAAGTTTTAATTGTTTGACTCTGTTAAATTAAGTTCATTATCGAGAGCCAGTTACGGAATTCATCATCACAGATTTGTAGTGGTACTCATTGTGTCAGATTTCACTATTTTGTACAAGTAGGACTTTGATGAATTTTAATAAACTGAATATTCTTAACTAGATGAAGTATTTGTTTTTTATTTATTTTAATTTGTTGATGCGTTTTTACTGGTAGAATGTGCTTTTTTAAACTGTTAGAATGTGTTTAGAAACATTGCAATTCGTTGAAGCTACTGAAATTATGGTTAGAGCAGTAGAATATGTTATACGGAGTATTACATAAATATTATACTCGTATTTATTTAAAATATAATATATTAATAAAATAAAGAAAAAGCTATATGAAAAAGTAGTCAATTTCAGTCACATTACGTCATTACTCATTTTGCTTCATACACAAGTTAGTAACTTAGTACACAGAACTAAAAGTTAACGGAGTACTCTACAACAAGGGCTTTGAATGTCATTGGTTTGCGTTTGTTTTTTGGCGGATGAGTAGGGATGGACCCGGATCGGTTCTGGTTCTGGGCTGGGCTTGGGTGGGCTTTTTTTTCAAATTGTTGGGCCCGGAACCGGCCCGGGTTGATACCGGGTCCGGGCCGGGTTCGGGTCAAGGTAATTTTTTTTTGGGAAAACTGTCAAATAGGTCCTCGAACTTTCATAAAAAGGTCAATTAAGTTCTTCTATAGGAGGTTCTGTCCGGTCATCGCGATTTGGGGCAGTTCTTGGTTGAATTTTTTGAGCATCTTATTCATCAAGTCTAGTTTACTCATACCAAATTTCAGCTAAAAATTCAATCGGGAACACATTCAACTTAATTCTTGAAGATAACTGCGTATTTTTGCGTTCTCGAATTAATTTGAATGCGTTCCCGATTAAAATTTTAACTGAAATTTGGCATGAGTAAACTAGACTTGATTAATAAGATGCTAAAAAAATTTCATTAAAAAATACCACCGGGAACCGCCCCAAATCGCGACGACCGGACAGAGTCTCCTATAGAAGGACTTAATTGATTTTTTATGAAAATTCGAGGACCTATTTGACAGTTTTCCATTTTTTTTGCTTTCTAATTAACCCCCCACCCCCACCCCCCAAAACACCCAGCCCTAACCAAGAAAAACAAAAAATTGAAAAAAAAGCCCGGGCCCGGCCCGAACCGTCCGGGCCGGTTCAACAAAAACAGGGCCCGAGCCCGGCTCGCCCAACCCTCTCCAACCGGGTAAAAGCCCGGGCCCGGTTAGCACCAACCGGGCCGGTCCGGGCCCACACAGTGGCGGGCCGGGCCGGTTCCGGGCTGGGCCGAACCGGTTAGGTCCATCCCTACGGATGAGCAGCAACGCCATCTCCAGTCGCTGCATTTTGTAGCATTTTATGTTCAATGTTTATTGGTGTTTTAGTTCAAACGATGATAGCCAAACATAGGGATGGACTCGGGTCCGGGCCGGGTCCGGGTCAGGCCTAGGCCCGAGTGGGCCGGCGGTTCAAGAATGGTGGACCCGAGACCGGCCCGGGTAGTCACCGGGTCTCCGGTTTGGATTTTTTTTTTGCTTTCCTAACCCCGCCCCCCCCTCACCCCACCCTCCCAAACCACCCCAAACCCATCCTACCCATAAAGCCCAACCCGGGTGGAACCCCAAAAATGTAAAAGAAAATAAAAAAAATTCAATTTGGCTCGGGCCCGACCTGGCCGGGCCGGTTCACCAAATTTGAGACCGGAGCCCGAATCCGACCTACCCCCCGGGCCTAGGCCCGACCCGGACCCGAGAACCGGGCCGGTCCCGGTCCCACATAGTAGCGGGCCGGGCTGGTCCACGGGCCGGGTGGCCCGACCCGAGTCCAACCATAGCCAAACATAGCCACTGAATCATTTTTTGTGTACTTTTCAATGACACTTACACGTAGGGATGGATTCGGACCGGGTTAATCGGCCCGTAACCGGCCCGGCCCGATACTGTTATGGTCCGGCCCGGGCTGGAACCGGTAGCTACCCGGGCCGGTTCCGGGCCTCAAGGTCCCAAAAAAAGCCCGGTCAGAACTGGCCCGAGGCCCGACCCGCACCGAGTCCATGCCTACTTACACGATTGAACTTTTGAATCATGCCCCTCCATTTTCAAACCATAACTTAAATGGACCTACTCAATTAAGTGTCACTATAAGACACCATCACATAGTACTTGTAATTAAACCAGTACAAAAATGAATGCATATGATTATTGAATACGTACAGAGACAAAAAAACAAGAGAGTAAACAATTCACACATGGCAAACTCCCTTGACGAACATGACTAGCCGCTGATGTATGTCAGAATCCATACATGGTCATTTGTACATCCTTGCAAAATGCTTCTACACTACCATGGATGAATTTCACGGGAACGTTAATCTATTGTCGTAAAACCCTTGCCTGAAAATGATCAAACTTTTAGATTTAGGAATTTTATTTCAAAATCCAGTGAAATTGGGATATTTCATGGATTAAAACTCCACAATTAGAAAAAAAAAACAGTTCTTATACCGTGGGATCATCACACGGTGAGCATCATGCTCCAGCCCCAAAATGACGTAGTTTTGCACAATTTAAAAAAAAAAATCGCGTGAACAGTACACGCGTGAACAGTACACACGTGTACAATAATTGTTTTTTTTGTCCAGGTAGCATGAATGATGTAACTCACATTTAAGGAAATGTAACTCACGTTGATAAATATGTAACTGCAGACAAGTCTAAATGTAACTTGTCTAAAACAATGGTTTCAATGCAAACAATAAAAAAGGAGTCTAATTTCTTAATTACTTTACCTAAATAGTGAATTTGTTGTGTTTTTAATATTACGACTAATTTCTTATTTTCTCATTTTTTCCCAAAAAATCATTTTTTGCAAAACCCTTTGTAAGTATAAAATGTAGATCACATTAGTTAAAATGTAACTTGGTGCAAGTTGTAATGTAAGTCGCGTTAAAGGAAATGTAACCTAAGGCAAATGGAAATGTAAATTGTGTTAATGAAAATGTAAGTTGTCTAATACTCCATATAACATATATACATATCAAATAAAATATATAATATATATTATCAAAGTCCTTCAATCCACCGTAAGAGAATACAGCGTCACCGGTGAGACAAGTATACCCAGAGATGGACGAGCTATCTTCTTTGTCTGCTAACAGCTTGTGTCAAATTATGCATTCGCTGGTTTGAATTAGTGTTTGCTACATATGCACGAAGTATTACAAATTCGATTTAGCAGGTTGGGGGTCCAGCAAGGAAGCTTCGTATCAACAAAGGAATTGAATTTTTTGATGCAGGGACGAAGCATCGCTGGACGGCTGGAGAAGACGATGAATATTTGTCGTCTCTGTTTTAATTAATACGGAGTATAAAATGCCGTCGCTTTGGGATCGGCACACCATGCGGATGGTGGGCCGATCCCACGGTATAATTTGTGAAAAAAAGGTCCACCTCATATGCACCCATATGAGCGTTTTTAACGGTACGCGGGTTACAATGACACTTAATTGAGTGAGTTTAAGTAATGCATTTAAGATCAATGCATCATGCACATAGGTTAACCATCTTACAATACAATTTTGCTAGGTGTACACAATTTTTGTAGACCCTTGGTACCCCATATAAAAAGCCCATATTTTTACCATCATTTACCCCCTCCAAAAATTCAGCCCTCTCACAACCCTCCCTCCCTCCCCCCTGCGCAGAACCATTCCTCCAAAAAAACGGAACCAACGGAAATGAGCTAAACGGAACACAACCCTCCCTCCTTCATCTTCTCCGTTGAAATTCTTCTTCAATGGAGCTAAACGGGAATGATACATCAGAGTGGGTTGATGGCTTACTCTTGGATAGCATGATTTTTGGAGAGCTAGGTGATGAAGGTGAAGATGATGCTTGTACGCCGGTTTCCGGCGAACTCGATGCTAGGTCGAGGGAAGACGATGAACAAGATCCAGAGGTCGAAGGCTTGAGTATGTGTTGTTGTCTTGGTTTTGTTTTCTTGATTTTTTCTTGATTTTGTTTTCTTGATTTTTGTGTGTGTTTGGGATATGAAAAGGGTTGTCTATCTAACATAGTAGTTATAAGTGTAGTGTCTGTCTACTGAAACATAGTAGGTTTGTTGTTTGACCCATGTGTAAAATGTCTGTCTGACAGACAATGTAATTTGTTTGTCTACGTAGAAATAACGTCTGTATGGACATGCAAGTATTTGTAAAAGAGTGTTTTGTAGTATGTTTTCATAGTGAATGTTGTTTTTATGTAAAAGTGTGTATAAGTGTTGGACATGTGATTGTATTTGTGAATGTCCACAAGAATGTTGTGAAAATAAATTATGCATATTATTGTGTGTCTGGACAGACAACATGTTGTGCGTTGTCAATTGTTATGAACATGTATTTTTGTTTCGAATAAAAGACAAAGATCAAGAAAAGAGTAATAATAAAGACCCTGAGGTTGGTATGGAGTTTCTTAGTAAACAGACAGTTTATGATTTCTACAAGGCTTATGGTAGAAGAGTGGGCTTTCCTGTTAGACAACGTACTTCACGTAAAGACAAAACAGGTAACATCACTCCGATTGTCTTAGAGTGTGCTCGTGCTGGAAGTAGGGCCAGCCGGTCACAAAATGTTTTGAAGCCTCAACCTTCAATGCAAGTCGGTTGCCTTGCAAGAATAAGAGCACGTACAAATTACGCCGGAGGATGGGTGATTTCAAAGTCATGGTTAGATCATAATCTTGATATGAGTCCTACCAAGGCAAGGCTGTTTCGGTGTAATAGAAAGTTGACACCGCACATGATGAGAAACCTTGACATTAATGATGTTGCGGGATTACCAGTTCAGAAGAGTTTCAACTCCGCCGTTGTGGAAGCCGGTGGATATGAAGAACTTCCATTTTTTGAAAAGGATTGTAGGAACTACATACATAAGGTGCGCCAACTTAGATTAGGAAATGGTGATGCAATGGCCATTCAAGACTTCTTTTGTAGGACGCAAGCTCAATGCCCCGGTTTTTTTTTCATGATTGATTTGGATGAGGAGTCAAGGTTACGAAATGTGTTTTGGGCGGACAATCGATGTCGATATGCCTACAAAGACTTTGGTGATGTCATAACTTTTGACACAACATATCTTACAAATCGATACGATATGCCATTTGCCCCATTCGTTGGAGTTACTCACCATGGTCAATCAATCTTGCTTGGTTGTGGCCTAATCTCGAGTGAAGATACACAAACATTTGTGTGGACTTTTAGAGCTTGGCTTGAATGTATGAACGGTTGTGCCCCGCACGGAATTATTACTGATCAAGATCGCGCCATGCAAAACGCCATTCAAATTGTTTTTCCAAATACGCGGCACCGATGGTGTGTATGGCACATCATGAAGAAGCTACCGGAAAAGCTTGAAGGGTTTATCGATAAAGATGAAATTATATCCGAAATACATGACGTAGTATATGACTCACAGTTCCCTGCTCAGTTTGAAGTTGGTTGGAAAGCAATTCTGGAAAGGTATTCAATACTAAAGTATGTAACAAACTAAAGTTGTCTGTGACAGACATTTTCTGTCTGGAATGAATTAATTGTTTCTGTCTCACAAACAATAGTTGTCTGTCACAGACATTTGGGTCTGGACTTAAGTATGTAACAAATTAAAGTTGTCTGTGACAGACATTTGGTATCTGTCTAACAGACAATAGTTATCTGTCACAGACATTTGGGTCTGGGACAATATTATTCGTCATGGTGATAACTGCTTATTTGTCGCAGGTATTCACTTCAAAGTGATGATTGGCTTGGGGTGATGTACAATGAACGTCAACGGTGGGTACCTTGTTACCTTAAACCTACATTCTGGGCGGGTATGTTCACCACACAAAGAAGTGAGAGCATGAACGCATTCTTTGATGATTTTGTGCACTCCAAAACAAGTCTCAAACAATTTGTGGAGCAATACGGCCAAGCTTTGAGATGTAAGGCAGAAAAAGAGTTTCATGCAGACACAAAATCATTTACAAAAATGATTCCGTGTGTTAGTATATTTGAAATGGAGAAACAAGTACAAGGACTATACACACTAGCGAAGTTTAAGGAATTTCAAGAAGAAGTAATCAGCAAGCTTTATTGTGACCTACTTGAATGTGAAGATGGAAAAACATTTCATGTGAAAGAAGTGAAACGAATTAATGGGTTTTCCAAGACTACTAACTACATAGTTGAATATGACAAGACCTTGAATGAAGGCCAATGTAGTTGTCATTTATTTGAATTTAAAGGTATCATTTGTAAACATATGATTACGGTCCTAATGCGTAATGGAGTGGACATCTTGCTCGACCGATACATATTGCGGAGATGGAGACGGGATTTGAAGAGAGCATACACACGAGTCAAAATAAACTATGATGGGTGGATCACTACCGTGGAATAACAATGGTTTGACAAATTGTGTATGAAGTTTGAAGCTCTTGCAAATGTCATCGCCGATGACGAGGAAAAATATGAAATGGTTATGCAATGGATGGAAGGGCAATTGAATGATTGTACTGCGTCAAAGGCTAATTCAAGTATATGTGGTGCCATGACACAACTACCCGAAATGTGCACAAGTGTCCATGCCGATCATCCCAATGCAATTCTTGATCCCAAAACATCAAAACGCAAAGGTGCACCTAGAAAAAATCGCATTAAGGGTCCACTTGAAAAGGGAAAGAAGAAACAAAAGGTGAATGTGTACTTTCCTTTATCTACAAACTCTGAAGATGTCTGTTACATACAATTTGAATGTTAAAACAACAAACTTATTTGTTTTTTGTTCTTCAGGCGGGGTCAAAAGCCAAAAATGCAAGCAAGGAGGCTTCTATAGTGGACATCATTGGTGGATCAGACCAAAATCCTCAATTTCCCGTATTTATGGAATGTATGAATGATAAAGGGTTGGACTTAAACCTTAATGTGATGTAGTTTATCATGTACTATATTTTGTAAATTGAACATAATTTTGCCGTATCATGTACTATATTTTGTAAAGTGAACATAAGTTTTCTTATGAATTATCAATGTTAGTTTACTTCGAACAAGAAACACAATCAAATATACGTATACACAGACAATACACATAAACAGACAGACAGTATGTGTAATGTTCACAGACAAACAAAAAGTCTACATTAATAAGAGGTTAATTGTGAATGTAATGTTTGCAAAAATCCATACATGTTCAAAATACACTAGTCAATTGTTGAACATTGTACAACATTGAACATCTAACATTGTACAATCTTCGACATATTTCCCCAAGTTTGAACCACAACTTATAATGGGACATGTATTGTAAAACACTCTAAGCTTCTTCTTTCTTCAACCGCCAAAGACGAATACCATAGTCGCGTATTTTGTTGTGCATGTTGCCATAGTCGCAATCAGGAACCCGTGAATTTACTAAGAGTAACTGTTCTGCAAAAGCTAGGACCATGACCCCACATTCACCTTATCTGTAGACAGACAAAAAAAACGGACAAACAATTATACGACTTAGACAGACAATACATGTAATGCACATAATTATTGAGTTTAATACCCTGCATTTTGTTGAGGCACAACATCCACTGCTTCGGCTTTCCATGGTTGCAAATTAGTATCATCCGGACACAATCCCATTGCACGAACTAGGTAAGGCAGCCGCACACACAACTCATTAGCATAATATGGAGTCCTAGAAGTCTTCATAGAGTCGTAAACCCTAACCAATCTATATCGAAACAGAACTTCCGCCAACCCCCAATGCTTATTCTCAGCATTTAAAGGAATCAAAAGCTGCCAATATTAACAATTAATCTCAAAATGTAGGTGTTGTGTGTACACAGACACAAAATTAGTAAAACAATACCAGACAGACAATTATAAGACTTAGACAGACAATACCCTTTCAAAAGATGCCCACTCTTGCTTTTCAGGAATTTATCTCCACCCCAATGTGTGTCGTTGGCAATGTCTTTCTTAAGAATTTTATGCTACATATATTTTATAAAATATAAAATGTAAGGCGATTTAACAGATCATATCACGACGTTGCTAGAAAAAAATGATATAGGTACCACAACGTAGGGGCTAATCAAAATCATGGAATGCGCAACGATGTCTTTGTTGAGCAACTGTGTTATTGCATGGAGCAACTGTCTTTATCTGAGAAACCATTAGATTGTAGGACACTTTTGCCCAAGGGTAAGCTTTAAATCTGTCCAAGTCATCCGCCAATTTCAGAAACTGAGAATTCATCAATGTTTTCTTGTTCCTCGGTATCAAAACACATTGCACGTAGAAAGCACATGCAAGCTTGAGAGGATCACCGTGAGGTCTTGCCTTTTTCGGCTTTATAGACTGCATCTTTGCCGTCAAGGTCCCAAAGCCGATCTCCTTGGCACCACCGAAGAACTTATCTAGTAACGTCCCATTGCCTTCATCTACATCGGAGATGACCGGAGTTGGACCAACAGAACGGAGCCCAGTTATGCGTTCAAAATCATTACAGGTAAATTTTAACAACTTGTCATTCACGCAAAATCATAGTTCATCTTTAGGCTGGTCACACACTAATCTCAATAAGAGGCTATGGACAATTTGCGCTGAGAACTAAAGCTCTGGCACATCAAGAAGATGGCCCCACGACATCTTCCTAAAATCAGCAAGCTGCGCAGGAGTCAACCCCGATTTCACCAACTTTGCAGCATCTTTAAATTCAGAACACTGTGATATTTGAGCGGGGAAGTGGTCACAGACAGGAATTTGCAATTCGAGAGCCTTATGACATTTCCAAAAAATGCACACAAAATAAGATAGACAACTCAATAAGAATGACAGACATCTATGTATCACAACACAGACATTTAAAATTTCTTCACAGACAACTGAAAATACGAGACAAACAATTCTAGGCAATTGACAGACAACTACAAAAAAAGACAGACACAGGAATATGAATGACAGACATCTAGATAAAACATCACACTCAATTAGGTCCAGTTTAATCAAATTAAATCAATTATGGTAAGGTGAGTACTGCACAAGGATGAAAATATTACCTTTTAGCAAAATCGGTTAAACTTGTTCGCACCATGACTTCAAAGTTATCTTCTTTTTTCGTTGAACTTGGACTAGCGACACTTGGAGTTGGAGCACAACAGCGCGTCTACGAACTTGGACTAGCGCCTGGATGAACTGACTTCAGTTCGATGGGTTCGGTTGTCCGTCTACGAACTTCGACCAGCGATGGATGAGTGCGGTTGTCCGACATTCATTTCTCCAGAGCAGAGCAGAGCCTATGGGTTGTCCGACGTTCATTTCTCCAGAGCGGAGTGGGTTGTCCGCGAAAATGGCAGTCCGAATCGTGGAGTGGGTGCGGGAGTGGAGCGGGGATTGGGAGGGATGGAAGGCGAAAGAAAATAAGGTAAAATTTTGAATTGGGATGAAAAAAGAAGTGAGGTAAAAAAAATAGGAGAGTATTTATACGGGAGAGTATTTAGGCGAATGGTGTACACCTAGCAAAATTGCTTACAATATAATGTATGTATTTGTGTACAACATTCTGACAATTTTATCCAATAAATGATTGGTGTCTGACAACTTTTAAGTAAATGTGTGTACACGAAATTGTGAAGGCATTTCCCACTTGAGTAGAGTAGGGAGGGCCTATTACCCACCCACCCTTGTACCGTAATTCTCTTTTACTTAAGGTGTTTCGTTTTGCTACTTGTTTCAAAATGAGTATTTAATCAAGCCTTCGAGCTTAAGCAAATCGATGTTAAAAAATTCCCAAAAAATTATCACCTACGGAGTATGATAAATAGCAATCCGATGCCGACAACCAAGCATTTATCCACCACGCTCTTGCTATTCTTGTTCATTGCAGCCATGTCCGGTCTCCAGTCCGACGCCCACAAACCCGAGGATACGGCGATCTACATCGTTTACACCCACCGTCCTCAAGAGGGTGACGAAAGTCACGAAGCTTTTCACATCAAAATCCTGAAAGAAGCCTTTAACGGGTGCAATTTTACCCTTCGTCTCTATCTTCCATTTTCAATTCATAGTGTATATATGGAATGAGTATTTATGGCGTATGGATTAATTTTTGTATATGTTGGCTGGGAAAAGAGATGATTCTGCGAAAGAGAAGATTTTGTACCATTACAAGAAGGCAGCGTGCGGGTTTTCTGCCAAGCTGACTCCTGCCCAGGCTGACTCTCTTTCCAGTAAGTTCTTTTAGGTTTTTCTACTTTCCCTTCGCGGCGCTTTTTTCCGATTGGATATTTCGATTGGTGTTTGGCTTTTATTTATGGGGTTTTGACACAAATATTATTAAAAAAATGGGTAATTGACAGAAAGAAGACCTTTTTTTTCAAAAAATGTGACTAATAATCACATACTTCTACTTAATAACCCTTCCTATCTGTTTAGAACCGTAACAATGCACTCTCGTAACAATGAACTCCCTTCCCTGATGGTCTCACAATGCACTTTATCTTTTTTTTTTTAATTCAAGATTATTTCAATGCAATTAATGTTTTTTTATTTTAATATTATTTATTTAGATAAACATTGGAATATGAAAATTATGTAACAAATGATCTCAGCTATTAATGCTCCAGTGACATCTTTTCAATTACTATTACTTCAATGAACACCGTCCCAGTTACTACTACTTCCGCTCTAGTGACACCGTCCAAGTTACTACCACCGCTTCACTGGCCACCGTTCCCGATACTACAGCTCCGGTGACCGCCTACTGGTTACTAACGGTCTACCGCTTCACAGTTACTAATGTCTCGGTGATCTACTGCCCCAATGACCTGCCGCCAATTACCGGACGCTGCCAGTGACCACCGCCGGCCAACCCCGCCGGCAACAGTTACAGTGACCGAATTGCCCCGCAGTGACCAAAATGTCCCGCAATCACTAACACTAGCAGCAGTTACATTGATCACTGTCGGTGTTAGTGACGGTGATCACCCCTGGCCAACCCCACCGGTGACAGGTACAGTGATCATCGCCTGATGCAATTATAGTGACTTGGCTACGTCAGTTACAATGACTTTCTAACAGTGACAATCACCTGTGCCACCCAAAGCACCAATGGTTTGGGCTGTGGGTATTTTTACAACAACAACATCCAAGCCTCAATTAAAAAAAAATGAAAAAACATATGTGGCGTGCATAGATGTCGATGATAACATGCATTTCAGGGGGGGGGGGGGGATCTAGGAAACCATGAGTTTTAGTAATATTAGGGTTAATTTTCTCATTGAATAACTTTGCTGCCCAACTGCCCCGATAGCTATGAACGTTTTCTCTACAATGCCAAACTTATTGTTTTGAACTGAAAATACTTCGAAAGGCACCCTAGTGGATTGAAATAGGTATCTTTTTCAGAATGCTAAAAAAACAGAGAGGCCATTATAATATTTGTGCTAAGGAACTATGAAATAAAATAATTAGTATTATCGCGTCACTTGAATTGTCTTCTGTCTGTGCCATCGCTCATTTTTCTTTGAAGTCTACTTTGACCATTAGTGATCGTGTGTGCACAAGGAAAACATAGAACCACCGGTGTCGTGAGAATGTAGGTTCATACTAACTTCATGAAAGTCTTCAAAGTCTCCTCTTCACACATTCACACCATATCACCATTAGTACATGCACAAGTTTTCAAAATGCTAGTTTGGGCATTGAGGCGGTATGTTTGAGTGAGGTGGAGGCCCAAGCCTCAAAATAGACCAATAAGTAAAACTTAAAATAGTTAAACTAGTAATAACCAACTAAAGATATGCATAATTACAAGGGCAAGTGTGCAATAAGTCTCAAACACAAACACATATATGACCACATCATCAAACATGATAATTCAAACACACAGAAAGACACATAAAAATGTTACATGTTAAATGTATGGGTCTTACAGAGTATTAAATAAAATAAATTGATGCTTTTTAAAGTTACAACCACATAAAAAAGGCATACAAAAAAGGAAAATCACCTCAAAGAATGTCTCAAAGGCACACCTCAAAGCATACACTTTGGCTTTTGTCGTGCAAAAACACCTAAGCCTCGATGCCTTCTTTATACGCCTCACCTTGAGGAGCACCTCAATACCTGTCCTGTAAACACCTTAAACCATGTGTATGCATAATATTTCTTTTAATATGATGTTTGGTTGGTAGGAAGAGAAGGGGTAACTAATGGAATGGGAGGGAAATTGTTGCCTTTGTTTGGGAGGGTTGTAAGGAGGGAGAAAGATGGAAGCGAATAGTGTTAGATGCAGGATTCTACACTTGAGTTATGGCCTATGGATATTCTTTTGAGAATGGACGGCTACATATAAATAGTGCATACAAATACATGCTTATTAAGAAAATTGAAGTTATTATGGGGGGATCCCCAACTTGCTCCCCTTGTGTCCGCCGTTGGGAGAGAAGGTGACACGGTTCCATTCCTTATACTCACTTCACCTACCTTTCCCAAGGCGTGAGGCCAGGGGCAGAGCCAGGATTCGATTGAGATTTGTGCAGAGGAGAGAGTGCACACTAAATAATGCTTCCTCCATCCCTTAATAGTCTTGATTCTAATTTGTTCGTTAAACTGTTCACAAAAACAAACAACATCCAAGCCTTAATCTTAAAAGATTTTCGTTAAACTGTTTATAGTAAAAAGAACAATCTTCCTATTCATGTTGTATTATATATGACAACTTCAGTTTAATAATAAGAAAAATAAAACTTTTTTATATACTCTCTGATAAACTCGAACACTTTAAACTATCTGATAATTTAAAAAATTAAAAATTTAAGAGAAAAAGAGAAGAACGATGAATAGCAGAAAAGGGGAAAAACACATAATAACATACCTGCGAGGGAGAGGAGCTGAAGAATACAGAGGAGCGGAAGACAAGGGAGGCATAGAGAGAGAGAAGCGTAAGATTGTAAGAATAGAGAGAAGAGCTTAATGGATTCTGGTAAGCTTACGCCGTCAATATATGGCAGGTACAGAATCGCTGGAAGTAGGATATGAGGTGCCAAAAGTCATGAGAAAAACTAATCGTTACCTATCCCTGAGGCGCCAGAGGAGGCCGCCTCAATGATACGTAAAAAGCGGGTCATAGTGTGCCTATGGATTTCTAGCACGCTTGAGGGTCTGCGATGCGATTTCCCCATTGCCTATTTGCCTGTTCTCACCTTGCACCTAGGTGCGCTTTTTAAAACTAAAGGGTGATAGTTGGCCTTTTGTTGAAGAACATCGATGTCACTGTTTCCAACACATGTGGAGGTTATTTTGTCATTTTAATTACACTCCACAATTTATTCCCTCATAAACAAGGATAAGTAATATTCTACATTTCCCCTTCATTCCCTTCACCCTGCCATTACTATCTGGTCTGGTGTCTATAGGTAACCTTCTGCATAGTTTATATATCGACAACAATTTTTTTTTTTATTATCAAGGACCCATTTTCTATCTTAAGCCTTTTGGGATCTCCGCAACACATCAGGTGGTTTCTGTGTGCTCGTTGTAAGGTGAAATTTGACTGAATGCTAGGGCGCTAAGATCCAATCATCCGATGCTTGTTTTTTGTCCTGGGTTCTGATTGATGTGTCTATTTTGGTTGATTTGTATTATTTGGCTTTCCTTAAAGAATGAAGAAACAAAAACTATGTCTTTGCAGAACATCCTCATGTTGTTGAAGTTGTCCAAAGCCGAACAGTACAGTTACATCCGAATCCAACCCACCAAATGCTTACATAGATGGCACCAGACACCAAAGATGACAGCATTATAATGTTCATACCAATATATCTGCTGCTTTGTATGCACGGACTCCTTTCACTTAGCTGTTGAAGTATTATAAACTTGGGATGATATAATGTCACGGGTGTTTTTTCATTTTTATACTACGTATTGACACAAATATATAGAATGTGTATCCATTTTATAGACAATACATGCTTGTATGAAATAAAGATTGTGACATTTGGTAGGTTAGCATAATGGTCGCATTTTACATACACCCGCATTTCCTGAATATGTTTAGCAGTTAATTGGTAGTTAAACTAATTACTAATTACTATAACTAAGCCCTTATGTAGTAAAAGTATTGCACACTTTCAAAATGGGATTTTTTAATATTATGAATAAGTATTACTCTTTTATTGTTTTTATTTTATAATAACAATACTAAAATAAGTAACTTTAAAAAAAATAAAAGAGCATTTTGTATTTTGTATGTTACCTCGTTCTTTTTAATTGCAACAATTTGATTTTTACGTTTGCCCAAATACAACTTTGACTATAATATATTAAATTACGTATTAGTAAATATTATAAAAAATTAATATTTTGAAAGTTGACATTAATAGAAATTTAATACCGCAGTAATATTTTATGAATAATAATTTGATGATATATATTATAGAGTAGAGGAAAATCATGGTCAAAGTAAAGTGTGCGAGTAGTGCAAATCTTAAAGAACGAAAGAAATATTATAGAGATTATATTTTAAATTTTTGGGCCTTCAAATTTGGGAAGCCCCCTTTTTCGCCCCCTCAAGTAGCAAGTTCAAGCTCTTCATTATTCTGGGGTGATTTTTTATTCTTTATCTGTAATTTTTTTCGACTTTTTAAAGTTAGACAACGTTTTGTCAGCATTTTTACTAGTTTTCAGAGTATACAAATTAGAGTGGGTGATGAAAATTCTATTTCGATCACTTTTGGCTCATTTGTGCCCGTATTGAGATAAAAGAGTTCTATTTTTTTTATAGATGATCAACTCTAAACTTGGTCAAACATCGACCGGGGCGGAGGTTTTTTATAGTTCATGCCCCCCTAAGATTTTTTAAATAGTACTATTACAATTTTTTGGACCCCCAGAATTCCGCCATAGGAGACGAATTGAAGTTCTTCTCATCTTCTGGTCATTGAAGTCAATTCTCATTTTCTATGGGTGGCATACTTCTAGCTGCACATGTTATTGCATTTATCCTAATGGTTGTGATTGTAGTTTAGTATAAGCACATGGAAAGTAAATGAGTGAAAATAAATTAAATTAACCAAGAGCATGGTGTGAGAGTTGTGTTTAATGTCATTCCAGCTACTTAGGATGTTTTTAGTTGATATGTTTTCAGTCCCCGACCAGACTTAAATAGATGAGATCAAACCAACTTTTATAGTTATAAAATACTCAGAGAACAGACATTTACTTTAACAGGCTAGATTTAAACAGATCGAACCAGACCAAAATTAAACGGACCACATCATCAAATTCTAGTCCAATTAAAAACATTCTTATTGTTACCTAGCCTTAATCATCTTATCATGATCGAGCCTTAATCAACTTATCAATTATCATGACTGGTCCTCAATCCCAATGCTAGTTTAACAAAAACAAACATTAAACATTTTCAATAATCTCCATAAGGAATATACAAATGACATGGAAAACCTGGACTGAAGTTGTTGTGAGCAGCATCAAATTATGAATCTATATACTCCTTATTTTTAAAACAGAATTTGACATGCATGAACAAAAACAAAATGACAAAACAAAACAAAAGAGAACGCGTAGGGAAAAAGTAAGCATATAAAACTTTATTTTTCTGTTTTTTGCATGCATTTTTTCTTGTTCTATTGATCTGTTTTACTGAATTCAAATATACTCACATAGTATTGGCAAATGAACACCACTTCTTTTCTAAAGTTGATTCTTATGAAATTTAGTTCAAATTGGAACAGGATGTATAGAGTATGGACACATAGGGGTCTTCAATACACATAAGTTTGCTCTATGAAACTGTCTGGTTAATGTTGTCTTCATTGTTTGAATGTAGATTAGATTTGCAAATGGTATTGCCACCAACTCAAGAATAAAAACAGAGCAGACTGCCTATATTAAACAAAAACTTATAAATGGGAACATGGATTGCGCAAAACCAAAAACTTCTACTTTGGGTTCAATGAACAAAAAATAAAAATACAGAACAAAAAGAAAAGAGGTTGCCTATGAAAAAATTAAGTAAGCATATATAAGATGGCATGGAAAACCTGGACAGGCTTCTATTTATATTGTCATTGTATTTATCCTAATGGTTGTGATTGTAGTTTAGTATAATCATATGGAAATCCTAAGAAAACCATGGCGTATGCTCTGTTTTATTTTGAATGATCCGTATGAAAAGATCAAGATGAAGGCTGGTTTTTAGTAAAGAAATAAATGGAACAATGAGTTAAAACCTATCATTCAAAGATACGATTTAATTTTAATATCCCACCGTAGGTGGGAGCCTTGGAGGCACTGGGGTAAATGAAAATGAGAGTCATAGCTTAGCAATTGGACAGTCATTTGAGATTTGCATTTAGATGAAAAGTCAACGTTAAGAACCGAAAATGAGATAAAATACCTTATATGTAGAAAAGTAAAAAGAAACATATGTGAGTATTAGGGAAGTCGATAGACATATTTCCCATACTAACTTTATTTGTAAGTGACTTTGGGGATAAATTAAGCATATAAAGAATGACATGGAAAACCTGGACTGAAGTTCTTATGAGCAGCATCAATGTATATATTCCTTAATTTTTTAAAAAGAAAATTGACATTGATGAACAAAAAATGAAAATACAGAACAAAAAGAAAAGAGGTTGCCTATGAAAAAATTAAGTAAGCATATATAAGATGGCATGGAAAACCTGGACAGACTTCTATTTATAATGTCATTGCATTTATCCTAATGGTTGTGATTGTAGTTTAGTATAAGCACATGCAAAGTAAATGAGTGAAAATAAATTAAATTAACCAAGAGCATGGTGTGAGAGTTGTGTTTAATGTCATTCCAGCTACTTAGGATGTTTTTAGTTGATATGTTTTCAGTCCCCGACCAGACTTAAATAGATGAGATCAAACCAACTTTTATAGTTATAAAATACTTAGAGAACAGACATTTACTTTAACAGGCTAGACATAAACAGATCGAACCAGACCAAAATTAAACGGACCACATCATCAAATTCTAGTCCAATTAAAAACATTCTTATTGTTACCTAGCCTTAATCATCTTATCATGATCGAGCCTTAATCAACTTATCAATTATCATGACTGGTCCTCAATCCCAATGCTAGTTTAACAAAAACAAACAGTAAACATTTTCAATAATCTCCATAAGGAATATACAAATGACATGGAAAACCTGGACTGAAGTTGTTGTGAGCAGCATCAAATTATGAATCTATATACTCCTTATTTTTAAAACAGAATTTGACATGCATGAACAAAAACAAAATGACAAAACAAAACAAAAGAGAATGCGTAGGGAAAAAGTAAGCATATAAAACTTTCTTTTTCTGTTTTTTGCATGCATTTTTTCTTGTTCTATTGATCTGTTTTACTGAATTCAAATATACTCACATAGTATTGGCAAATGAACACCACTTCTTTTCTAAAGTTGGTTCTTATGAAATTTAGTTCAAATTGGAACAGGATGTATAGAGTATGGACACATAGGGGCCTTCAATACACATAAGTTTGCTCTATGAAACTGTCTGGTTAATGTTGTCTTCATTGTTTGAATGTAGATTAGATTTGCAAATGGTATTGCCACCAACTCAAGAATAAAAACAGAGCAGACTGCCTATATTAAACAAAAACTTATAAATGGGAACATGGATTGCGCAAAACCAAAAACTTCTACTTTGGGTTCAATGAACAAAAAAGAAAAATACAGAACAAAAAGAAAAGAGGCTGCCTATGAAAAAATTAAGTAAGCATATATAAGATGGCATGGAAAACCTGGACATGCTTCTATTTATATTGTCATTGTATTTATCCTAATGGTTGTGATTGTAGTTTAGTATAATCATATGGAAATCCTAAGAAAACCATGGCGTATGCTCTGTTTTATTTTGAATGATCCGTATGAAAAGCTCCAGATGAAAGGTGATTTTTAGTAAAGAAATAAATGGAACAATGAGTTAAAACCTATCATTCAAAGATACGATTTAATTTTAATACCCCACCGTAGGTGGGAGCCTTGGCGGCACTGGGGTAAATGAAAATGAGAGTCATAGCTTAGCAATTGGACAGTCATTTGAGATTTGCATTTAGATGAAAAGTCAACGTTAAGAACCGAAAATGAGATAAAACACCTTATATGTAGAAAAGTAAAAAGAAACATATGTGAGTATTAGGGAAGTCGATAGACATATTTCCCATACTAACTTTATTTGTAAGTGACTTTGGGGATAAATTAAGAATATAAAGAATGACATGGAAAACCTGGACTGAAGTTCTTATGAGCAGCATCAATGTATATATTCCTTAATTTTTTAAAAAGAAAATTGACATTGATGAACAAAAAACGAAAATACAGAACAAAAAGAAAAGAGGTTGCCTATGAAAAAATTAAGTAAGCATATATAAGATGGCATGGAAAACCTGGACAAACTTCTATTTATAATCTCATTGCATTTATCCTAATGGTTGTGATTGTAGTTTAGTATAAGCACATGGAAAGTAAATGAGTGAAAATAAATTAAATTAACCAAGAGCATGGTGTGAGAGTTGTGTTTAATGTCATTCCAGCTACTTAGGATGTTTTTAGTTGATATGTTTTCAGTCCCCGACCAGACTTAAATAGATGAGATCAAACCAACTTTTATAGTTATAAAATACTTAGAGAACAAACATTTACTTTAACAGGCTAGACTTAAACAGATCGAACCAGACCAAAATTAAACGGACCACATCATCAAATTCTAGTCCAATTAAAAACATTCTTATGTAGAAAGTGATGAGAAGTGAATTCTGCAAATTCATCTTCTTAAAGATTTGTCTCAAAAAATCCTGAACAATTCATCAAAACCAAACAAAAGAGAATGCATAACCAAATGAAAAAGGCTGTCTATGAAAAAATTAAGTAAGCATATATAAGATGGCATGGAAAACCTGGACAGACTTCTATGTGAAGCATAAAACTTTTTAAATGTTAAATGTGAAGCAGCCACACAATTCATCGTTGGCTTTGAATGGCTGCTTTTCAATATATCATGTTCTAAACATGTAATTGATTTACCATCACAATGATTTATCACTAATTATAACCACAAACATAGGAAAATTAATATACACAAAAACTATAGTAATTTCTATAGGTAATATTGACAGTTAGAAGGGTAAAACTTAATGAGACATTTCATCAAACATGTTATATGCACAATGTTATTGTAGTCCATAATGAATAAATCAATATATTTATCCATAATCATCATAGGACAATTCCTGTTTGAAACAGGACGTTTGACTCCTCTCTAAAGCTTTAAAATATAATGAAGCCTTCACAAAAATAATACTTTATAAGGTGAAGAATAATGTGCACTTACAATATGTGTGAAAAGAACTAAAAAATCAACAGCGAATAGTAATTAGATGCAGAGAAAGATGATGAAATGAGAATAGAGAGTACCTGAGGCGTTAGTAGAGAGAGCAATAGAGCATAAAACCCTAGTATTCTAATGGTATATATAGTATAGTGATAATACCTTGTATTGTAGTGGTTTGTGATTTGAGGTCTCTCAAACTTGCGGTAATTCCGTGGATGGGAAGTGGGTGAGGCGTGTTGTACATGGCAACCTCAAGCTGTATATCCGAAAATCTGTCGAGGAAAAATCGGAGAAGAAAATGGCCAGAGTTTTACACGCACGCAACAAAGAGAGTAATCTTGCAGAGCGGAGTGTATTTTTCTTTCGGAGAAGAGGGTAATCTTGTGCGCAAGGGAAAAAAGAAGCCACGTGGAGTGCCGAGAGAAGCTGAGTGATATACGGACGACAATACACGTTGGATAAAGAGAGGGTATATTTGTACTTTGAACAGTTATCTCTTTTCTTATATATAAATAGATAATCAATTTTGAGAGTTAACCGAGTAAATTTGAGCAAGAAATAAACTAGGAGTAAATTTGAGCAAGAAATAACTGAGGAGTTGCGCTAAAGCTTATAAATACCGTCCAAAAACATAAGATCGTAGTTGCGCTCTGCAACTGTGAGTCCATTTGACAGCGACAAAGAAAGGTCAGAAACTAAAATTAATGGACTGCGTAGAAATCATCATATCATCCATTCTTCTAACTGGCTTCCACAATCCCCGCCAAACAACAAAACCTCGATCAAATCTCCCATTTCCACCAGCCAACATAATCGGGGAGAAAAAGTGTTTTCTGACGATCCCGAAATCAAGAAAAAGCATTATCGACGATGACAGAGCAGAAAGCCAAGACATGGAGAGCTGCATCCACAAAGCCTCCCATGAACATCCTGCCTTATCACACTCCCGCGCTCAACGACCATTACACCCTCGGGAAGAAGCTCGGTCACGGGCAGTTTGGGACAACCTACCTCTGTACAGAGAAAGCCTCGGGGCTTGAATACGCCTGCAAATCCATACCAAAGAGGAAGCTTTTGTGCAAGGAGGATTACGAGGACGTTTGGAGGGAAATCCAGATTATGCACCATTTGTCTGAGAACCCACACGTTGTGAGGATCAAAGGGACGTACGAGGATGATGCAATCGTGCATCTGGTCATGGATGTCTGCAGGGGTGGAGAGCTGTTCGACAGGATTGTCTCTAAGGGGCATTTCAGCGAACGAAAGGCGGCCGAGTTGATGAAGACCATTGCTGGGGTTGTAGAGGGGTGTCATTCTCTTGGTGTCATGCATAGGGATCTTAAGCCTGAGAACTTCTTGTTCGATACCCCTGATGAGGATGCAAAGCTCAAAGCCACTGACTTTGGCTTGTCTGTGTTCTACAAGCCTGGTCTGCTCTCCCATTCCACCTCTCTTTCTTTAATTTCAATGGCATTTCGGTTTCTGTTTTATTTTTAGTTGCTTTTTTGGTTAATTTCTACACATTCCAATGACCCTTGGTTGTTTTAAAAGCAAATTGGTAGGCTTTAGGATTTTAGAGTTCTTTTGGAATACAGAGTTCTTTTTGGAAAGTATTTTTAGATTTTATAACTTTAGTACAATTAAAATAATTCAATATATAAGAAAAAGTTGCATTTTAAGTATGAACTAAATTTTGAATGATGATTTTTAATTTCAACATCACCACTTTTATTGGTAATTTTAAGTTTTAGTTCAATTTTTTTAATAATGGCCTCGTGTTTTATTTTATGAAGTTATAAAGATTAAGGGGAGGTTGAAATTAGTAGAAATGATGGAATAATGGTAAATGTCATGAGATGCCAAAAAATCATCAAATTTAAGTATGGTCAGTAAACTAGTCTACCACTTTATGATTATGTTTATTTTATTAAACTCTTAGCAAGAGGGTTGGTGACCTAGATGTTTCTTGTAGTGGCATAATCATAATTCTGAACACAGTAGATACACTCTGAAATCTGAATGCTAAGACAGCTGAAAGCACTTCTTCCCTTCTGTTATTCAGGTCAATATCTTTCCGATGTGGTGGGCAGTCCGTACTACGTTGCCCCTGAAGTATTACACAAATTTTATGGACCGGAGATCGATGTATGGAGTGCTGGTGTTATCCTTTACATCTTATTATGCGGGGTTCCTCCCTTTTGGGCTGGTAACTCTTTTCATGATAATGTTGAATTCCTTAAGATCAAACGCTGACGGATTGATTGATCAGCAATTAGTTTGCTCCTTTCTTTGATATTTAGAAACTGTAACTTCATAGTGCAGAAACGGACAATGGCATCTTTAAGCAGATCATGAAAGGTAAAATAGATTTTGAATCTGAACCTTGGCCCTCCATTTCGGATAGTGCAAAGGATTTGATAAAAAGGATGCTCCAGCGGGACCCCAGGCAGCGAATAACTGCACATCAAGTCTTATGTAATTAAGCCACTTTTTTGTGTTGTACTGAACTATTAGCTTTTAGTTTGACAATCTGCATACAAGTGAATAAAGGCTAAGGGATGTAATGTGGCATTTGTATCAGGCCATCCATGGATTGTGGACGACACAGTAGCACCAGACAGGCCTCTGGGTTCAGCAGTATTGACACGTCTTAAGCAATTTTCTGCCATGAACAAACTTAAAAAAATGGCGTTGCATGTATGTTTCCAAATCTTTTTCCTGCTAAATTGACATTAGCTATAAACCCTACCTCGGGAGGTTATCTGCATTGGGCCTGTGTGTGTCTATACGCACACATAGACTCATAGAGGAAGTGGTTTCAATTAAAATTAGTCTCAACTCTTAACGTGAAAATGTGCATGGTAGAAAAGTCCGCACCATGCGAGGTAGCATTTTGATCAGTTCTGTTTCCTGATTTTTCTGAACCCTTATATATCCAATCTAATGCACCTTATTCGTTCTCATTTTTCACATCAACCGTACTTTTTATTTGATCCAAAATCTGTGTTTTTTATATTTATTTATCGGGCTAGTCTTTCATCATGCCTCTAGATATGTTGTGTTCTCAATGTGAGGTTTGATAAGGGTAAGTCCACTCAATTTATTAACAATCCTGCAAAATAGGCTGTAGTTTCCGACTCCTTTGAGCTATACCTATTTTTTACAATTCCAAATTTGGCCACTCTCACATTTCTTGTTATTTAAACTTTGCATTAAATAATCATAATCATTATTAGCACCTTAACCCCAACTAGTTGGGGCCATTTGCATTAAATTTATAAAGCCAATTAATTTCATTTTCATTTTCATTTTCATTTTCATTTACCCGGTGCCACAAAGGCTCCCACCTACGCTGGGGTAAGGGGGGATCGGATGTACGCAGTCTTACCCCTGTACTAAAGCACAGAGATAATGTTTCCGAATGACCCATAATGAAAATCGCGTCCAAAATTGCATGGACTGACTGCTGCTCCATAACAAAGAAACGCAGACAGTTTAGTGAGCCATTTTGCTTTATTCCATCATAATCTCAAGCCAAAAAATGATGAATCTTTGGCTCCATTGCAAATGATGGAAAAGATAAAGCCAGTTAATTGTGTAAAAATAATTATCACTATAAATTTATGTAAAGAAGTAAAAATGAAATGTTTATGACTGATGCACTTAATGTTGAAAAACTCACAATCTAAACATACCGTGAAAATTCACATTAGCTCTAAGGATGGCTTTTGGGGGTCACTATGTTTCCTTTGAATGAATAAATTCTTTTCTAAGAATTCTCGCCTAGAGGTGACATCCAACTGGTATTGGAGTGTGAGAAGTTGAGAAAGAGTGATGGGGAAACAAAGCTAAATATGCAATAACCTTTCTTCTTGAAATGTTGGAATTGCTTATATCAGCTATTGTATATAGTGCAGGCACTTATTTTTATGAAGATTGATTTAGTGTGCTAATACACATTTTATTTGTTTATCCCCTCTGATTGATTTCTGATGGTTATCATTGTGTCCGTAGGTCATAGCAGAGAGACTCTCCGAAGAAGAAATCGGAGGGCTAAGACAATTGTTCAAAATGATTGATACGGATGGCAGTGGGACCATCACATTTGAAGAACTCAAACATAGTTTGAAAAGAGTAGGGCCTGAGGTGATGGAGTCCGAAATTCGGGATCTGATGAATGCGGTACTTGAATCTTCATTCCTCGTTTATATACTCGTACGAATCAATTACTCCATAATCAAGTAAGCTTGATCATTTGTATGTTAAATTATTTGGATCTGGCAAATCTCTCAGGCTGACATTGACAACAATGGATGCATCGACTATGGCGAATTTCTTGCTGCCACTTTACACTTGAATAAGATGGAAAAAGAGGAGAATTTGCTTGCTGCTTTCTCATACTTTGACAAGGATGCCAGTGGCTATATAACTATTGATGAGCTTCAACAGGCGTGCAAAGATTTTGGTTTTGCTGATGTTTGTTTAGATGAAATCATCAAAGAAATTGATGCAGATAATGTAAGCACCCTTTAAGTGCTTATTATTATTACTATATTATTATCAGTATTTATCATTACAATTATGGAATATTATTGTTGTTGTTGTTTAAAATATTTCTCACCGTCGTTCAACATCTGTTTGATTGTCATGATTTTTTATTACTTCGATTCAAGCTAAGCTTGGGTTTGTATGGGATAGGATGGACGAATTGACTATGGGGAATTTGCAACAATGATGAGAAAGGGAAACAGAGGAATTGGAGCTAGAGGCAATTTGAATTTAAGTATTGCAGATGCCTTAGGATCAAGGGAGGAGTAGATCTACTACAATGTTATCTCTTGTTTTTTATTGTACAGTTAAACTTTATTCTTGCTCTTGCTCTTGCTCTCTCTTAGTTTACGAATCATTCATATTAATATTTGTATATAGATTAGGACAACTTACCAAATCCAAACTTCAATGTATTATGAAATTAGCATAATAATCATATTATGTCTTATCTATACCTCTATAGTTGTGCTTGTTGACCGCAATGTGTTGAGTGTTCTTACATGCACTGAAATAGTATTTTTTTCACTTTTAATGAAAATTAACCTTCAGTCCTTAAATGTTTTTTTTGCTCATTATATATATATGTATTTTTTTTATTTAGTTTTTTACTCCAGGGGGTGTCTGGGGGAGGGGGCCTGGAGTAATTAGGGGTGAAACTCACTCCATTGAGTTTTAAACCCTTATGTGCCTAGCGTGTTTCGAACTTGAGACCTCCAACTAGACACGGTAACCTCGTAACCTCGCTCGGTAAATTCAATCCTTAACTGTTCCATCACTAATCATTTTATCACTTAAATCTTATATTTTAAAAGTATCATATTGTTCTGTTTCTTAATTATTTTACCTTTTAAGATCTTGAATTTCAAACTTTCTATTCATTGGCCTAATTACTATGATTTGCTTTTTCAGTTCACTGACCATTTTATTTTAAAAATTTGAAAAAACATAAATTATAGGTGTTTTGTGTAGCCCAGTTCTCATATTCATATAGCTTGTGTGTAACTTTTATTCTTATACACAATAAACTATACAATGAAAATGTATCATGTTCAATTTATAAGCAACTTCTTTTGTCTAGCTAAACGAAAGATTAACGTCATTTGGTCAAATTTGAGTCTCATATTCAAGATACCAACTTTTGTTTCTGGATTCAAGCTAATTTAAATGACCCCCGGAAGATTATTAGATTTCTTTGGTTCCTGCTTTGAATGAGTCTTATCAAATTTTCTGGAAATCGAATGGTGCAGCATAAAATGCTCCCTACTAGTGGAGGTCCTTCTCAAATTAATTAATTGGTTACAACTTACAATTTATTTTGTCTAAAGCTGCTTTTAAATTAAAATTAGGTTTACAATATGTAATTTGTATAAATACACATATTTTGTGACATTGGCAAATTCAAAATCACACTACTTTTCTTAGTTTCTAAGTAAAAATAGCTTTACTTAATTCATTAAATTAAGTAATTAATTTTACATTATGTAATTTATTCAAACTAAAATAAAAAAAAAATTGAAATCAAAGGCTCAAGCCTCAAGGCCCCAAACGGCTATATAGCCGTTGGGTGCTTGAATCAAGGGTGTCCCGGGGTGGGGGTGGGGTGGGGGTGGGGTTACAAAAATTTCTATAAATACTCCTATTTTCTAACATTTTTATACAAATCTTCTCCAATATCCAATCTCCATTCTCCATCTTTATCTCCATCTATTCTAGTATTTATAGAATTATTATATCTACCATTTTTAAGATGGAAAGTCAATATGCCGTTATCGCGTATAATTTATATACGCAGAAGGACCCGATGACCGGGATGTGGTACGCAACTTTGTTAGAATATTATTTTATTGTGTTCAAATTAATTGTAATATAATTAATGAGTCTTTGTATTTAATTAGATTACCTGAGAGAGAATTAGGCCCAAATATAGTGCTCTTAATTAAGCCCACACGCCTAAGCTGCTTTCCTTATTGTAATACGGCTGGCCGAACCACTCCCTATAAATACAGAAGGAGTTGGTCGAAATCAGCTCTAAGTCTCTACACATTCTATTCCGCATATTATTCTGGTAGAGCACGTAGATTAGAAATTCTCTCTCTAGCTTGTTCGAGTACTGTGTATTGTTCTTCATGGATTCATCATTCTATATACACGGTATACGTTATTGGTGAAATTTCCCTTCTACTGTTTTAATTCTTTCTATTATTCTTAGTTTATCGACTGTTGAAATCTGGGCATATCTCACATAATTGGTATCAGGGTCACGGCGCAATTCTGTTCTTCTGATTCCTTGAATTTTTCTGGAATTAATTTGATCAAAATCACAATTTTTGGTTGAATTAATCTCTAGACCTGTTCTTGGAAACTTACTGTTTTAGAAGGCTGCTGCTATGAGGAAAAGATCACGGAGAAGGATTCTATTCTGAGTAAAGTTACTAAATCTCGCACTACCGAAATCTTAAATTCGGTTATCCGAGATCCTTCAAATCAGGTCATCCAAAATCTAGGATTTCGACACAGGTCAGGAATTCGGTCAATCCGAAATCAGCTTCTCATCTTCAGATTTCGGACTTCACCCGAAATCATTTAATTTCGGTGGACTGAAATCATCATACGAAATCCGGATTTCAGCATTGCATCCGAAATCAGAACTTCCGAATTTAGCATCCGAGATTTGATTCCGAAATCAGCCTTTCCAAATTTATAATCTCGGACACCCGGAATCTTAATTCTTCTAAAATCAGCCTTCGAAATCTTTTTCAAACAAGAACAGTTCTCGCCTTTAAGATCAAGAGTCATGGAAGCATACACACTTGAAAGTGATTCAAGACCTCCTCTGCTCAGAAGGGGGGAATTTGCTGTCTAGAAAGTCCGTTTTCTCAATTTCATTCGAAGTCGAGACAACGGAAAGCTAGAATATTCTGATCTCTCTTAATGAAGGACCACTCGAAGTTTGGGTTGATGTTCCAGCAGCCTCAACAAACAATCCTCCCACACCAGCTGGTAAGGCATTAAAATCTGAAGATAATTACACTGAACCAGAGAAGCTTAGAGCAATGTCTAATCTTCTTGCTGTCACTTATCTGCTACAAGCCATTCCCAATGACTTGTTTATGCAAATTGATAGCCTCACTACTTCTAAGGACTTGTGGGATGAGATTCATCAGATCATGCAAGGAACTGATGTTGGAATCAAATCCAAACGAGCACATACCCTGACTGCATATGACTCCTTTGCTGCTAGACCTGATGAAGAGATGGAAGATACCTATCAACGTTTTCTCACGGTCCTTAATGAGATGAAAAGGATCAACATCCGCAAAACCAATATGGAAGTTAACCTTCGCTTCCTAAGATCTCTCAAGCCCGAATGGAAGAAAACCGCCAAGCGAATCACACAAAACAAAGATCTGGATGAGCTGACCATCCACGATCTGTATGACTGTCTAGGAGAATTCTCTGAGGATATTCGTGAAAAGATCAAATCTTCAAAGGGAAAGAACATTGTTGACACACTTGCCCTCCTCTCAACCGAGAAGAAGAAGAAGAAGGAAAAAGCCCTTAAAATTACCTTTGAAGATGACTCGTCTGATGAAGAGAAGAATATGTTTGATTCTGACCCTGAGATTAATGATCTGAAGAAAGAGTTGGCTTTGCTAACCAACATGACGAGGAAAATAAACAAGAAGTTCACAAGGTTCAGAAACCCTGCTACAAACAATAAGCAAAGAACTTCTTCCTCAAACTATTCTGAAAGAGTCAGCAGACCATCAGATAAGGTTGTCAACAGTGACCCAATGAAGTGCTTTAAATGTGGCAAGCCTGGACACTTTGCTAAAGAATGCCGATCTGCCAAGAAGAAAGATTTCAACTACTACATGCAGAAGGCACAACTCGCCAAAAAAAAAGAGCAAGGGGTTGTCCTAATGGCTGAACATGATAGTTGGCTCGAAGATTCTGAAGATAGTGAGCCTGAGAATTTGGCTCTAATGGCAAGGGTAACTGGATCTGGAAGCGAAAGTGAAGACTCTGAAGAAGAAGAAGAAGAAGACAATGCTCCTACATCTGCTGAAAATGAGGTCAGTCATGTGTGGTACTTAGATTCAGGTTGCTCCACACACATGACTGGGAAGAAAGTGATGTTGAGCAACTACGTGGACAAATTTGGTGGGAAAGTGAGATTTGGAAAGAGTGACTCTGCTCCGATCCTTGGATTTGGAGATATGTGCAATAGCAGGGTCACTCTAAAAGACGTTTCTTATGTTGCTGGATTAACGCACATCTTGTTTAGCATCGGACGATTCTGTGACAAGGGCATGAAAGACATTTTCCAAGCTAACCAGTGTTGCATAAAGGATGATCAAGGAAACACCATTTTGATGTGTAGACGCAAATCCAGTCTCTACACCATTGTGCTGAAAACAGTGTTTCCCAATACCGATGTTTGCTTGCTGTCAAGAGTGTCCTCAGAACTAAATCAACTATGGCATAAGAGGATGTCTCATTTGAACTACCGAGATCTGCATACATTGTCATCAAAGAAGCTTGTTACTGGTCTGCCAACACTGCAAAGTAAATGTGATCATTTGTGTGATTCTTGCGCACTTGGAAAAATGAAAAGAACTTCTCACAATGTGAAAGTGACTGCATCTACTACATGTCCTCTTGAATTGCTTCACATGGATCTGTGTGGGCCCATGCGTACACAAAGTATCAATGGGAAGAAATATGTCCTGGTGATAGTAGATGACTACTCAAGATATACATGGATCCGGTTCTTACGCTCCAAGGACGAGACATCAGACATCATCATTACCTTCATCCGTACTACACAAAATCTGATACATGCATCAATCCTCTACATACGATCTGACAATGGCACTGAGTTCAAGAACCAGAAACTCAGTGAATTCTACGAGACTCAAGGCATCATTCAGCAATTCCCTGCAGCAAAGACCCCACAGCAGAACGGGGTGGTTGAAAGAAAGAACATAACTCTTGTTGAAGCTGCAAGAACCATGCTGATCCACTCCAAACTTCCACATTCTCTCTGGGCTGAAGCCATCAACATTACTTGTTTCACTCAGAACAGGACCTCCATTCACAAAAGGTTTGGAAAGACACCGTATGAGCTGATCAACCGCCGAATTTTCCTTTCTAAGAGTTTTTGGATGCAAGTGCTTCGTGGCTAATGACAGGGAAGATCGAAGCAAGTTTGATCCGAAAGCTTTTCATTGCGTGTTTATTGGCTACTCTTCTCCGTCTAAAGCTTACCGAGTATACACCAGAGAAATAAAGAAGGTCATTGAAAGTATCAATGTGACCTTTGACGAAAAAGAAGAACAGGCTTCTGGACATATCAGTTCAGAACCCGATATCACTGGTGTTCTAGCACAACTACCCGCCTCATCTCCCTCACCTGATTCCAACTCTGTGGATCTCGATCATCTGTTTGACCAAATATACGAGAATCCACAACCACA